TCAACTAAAGAAACAAAACAATATAATTTACGTTATATTCTGGTTTGATCTCATTTCGCTTCCTGGAACAAAGATTAATTTCTATTTTGTCATAGAAGATAAATGATCTACGAAAAATTTATGGAACTTTTGATGCTACTTTTAGTTGTACGATGACAGAGAAAAAAATGTGAAGAATTATGACTTTTATTAGTTGAATTTTATAATTCAAACTAAGCTAGATCATCAATGAAAACTTGGAAATAATAGATGGCTGTTTCGTCCCAGTATAGAACTCCTCAACAATGTGCATCATGACCCTAGGCGCGGGACTCTAACCAAAGATCGTAAGTCTCGCGCACAAACGTTTAACCACCAAATCACTGGACCTACATACAACTGTGTTAATGTCTAACTTTAATCGATTCATCAACTTTGAAGTGGACAACTGTCTCCCCGACACAAATCGAACACCAATGGTCACGACTTCTCAATAGAACTCCAAGAAAATAATCTTGAAACTGTTCACTAGTGAGCATATGGTCATTATTCGAATTGGGATTTGTGGAGATTGTAGTTATATTAATAGTTGAATTCATGGGTTGATCTAAGCTAGACCATCATTTAAATAACTACAATATCCACAAATCTCTGTTGTGAAAAAACAATTATAAATTGTTCTGTTTTGAAGTGTCAGAAAATTCCATTTGCCATATAGAATAGGCTTTATCTACTCGGTTTAATATCTGAGATCGTTCACTGGTAAAATCTGTTTAAAGTAACTTACAACTTATTTATGATGAATCTTCAATTAACATATTGGAACAATAATAAACTTACGCATTAATCAGTATAATACAAGAGTCACTCGCTGTAATACAGACTTCAGTGAATAAAAGTACAATCAATGAGACTATAATTTATGGACGATCTTTGAGCGGTTCTATTGTGACTATGAGAGTGTCCATCTAATAACTAAGACCAAATGACGGTTATAAACCATTTTAAGGAATTAAAATTGTGATTTGCAGTTGATAGTTAAGGTTACGAATTCGATGTAAGGTTTTCATCACGAGCTGACATCAGATATAATACTGAGCCTCTATTCAGCGAAATGGATGAGTGAATTTCTTGTCAAAATCCGAAACTTGTTTTCTTAAATCTGATTGGTATGTGCATGAATTATAGTCTCACCGTGCAATTTTCTTTGTTTGAAGTAATGTATTTCGATTGATAGATTCTTTCAATAGGTACTTAATCTTATGGTCATTATTGTATCAATGAGAATCAATTATCGTAGATTTCATCTATGAGAATACATTTAATACAAACTTCATGCTTTAATAGTTGAATTCAATTGAAGCTAGAACACCATACAAAGCCTGAAAGCACTGGATGGCCGTTTTGTTTTAGAATGGGACTCCTCATGAATGCGCATCCATGATCCCATGATTCGATACTCAGAATATACTTATGTTAGACAGCTGAATATGAGTCATGAGTCTGAAAATAGATCAATGAAGCAACTATGCTGGTTTCTATAATGCAAATATACATCAAAATATTATGCGCTTGTAAGCAAACAATCCCAACGAAATCTTTTATGGGTGAGTAAATTATAATAGTCCACAGTGACCAGGTGCAGTGTATCAACAGTCAGTCCCCAATCACAGGTGATGTATATATGTACATCTAATCAGATTACCATACCATATCAACTCAGCGAGATACTAGATTTTTTGTGGTGACATTATATAGTAAGAAAGATGTGGTATAGAAGAAATAGCTTTAAAAAATATGGATTTTTGGGGTCAAATCAATCGAAGATTATAAGGAAACTAAAATCCTAAGTTGTGACGAGTATTGAATGAATATACATAATTACAAACTATGTTGAGTCACATCGACTAAGGAATCGAATCCACGACCTCCGGTCTCTGACAAACGCTTAACTATTATATATAATAATAATATTGATTGGGTTCGATAATAGCAACCACATGCACTAGTATCCTTGTACTTCAGTAAGACGAATACTTTCAATAAAAGAAAAGCATCACTGATGGAAATGAAGTAATATATTCTACAGCTGAAGATAAGAGAACGGTTCTAGCTTCCAGTGGATATGAAAAGAGTGATTCATGTGAATTGTAGATAAAGTACAATCAATAATTTACCTGACCCATTTAACACAACCGAGTACTTGTTAAAAATAAAGTTAACGTTATGAATCATTAACAATTTGTAAACTACCAGAAACCATGGGTATTTTTTGTTCAATTATTTATTTCAGCTAGTGAATAAAACTGATGGATAGTGGGGGCGATTTCGTGGATTCATTGAAATTAGACATTAACACCGTTGGATATCGGCTCAGTGGTCTAGAAGTTAGGCGTTCACGCGCGAAATCGCTAGGTCCTGGGTTCAAATCTCGCGAGGATGGACCATGGACGCACATTGTTGAAGAGTCACATACAAGAACAAAACGGCCCCGCTTCTAATATTTTCTCATTTCCGTCTTTGAATTCTGTTCAAGTTTTGTCAAGGAAGACTGTCATGTTAATCATACGTTAGTTTATTATAGATTTCATTTTATAAATATAACCTGTTCATTAGTATTTAGCCCATAATGAATCGAACTAAGTTTTACGAATAATTACCAAAGCGTTTTGAAGTTTCACCTTGAATTCATCCATATTGATTCTGATTTGTTGATGAACGTTTAAGGATAAGGAAAACTTTTATTTAATCAGTCTATGGACCTTGAGTAAACATTCACTATTGTAATAAAAGTTTCTATCTTCGGTTTTTATAGTTTAATAGAATAATATCTGACTCAATGTTTACATTTGAATCGGTCAGTTATAAGCTATGGTCATGAAATAGTAAAGAATTAAAAGATTGAAAAATTCCATTACAAACAATAAAACATAATGAATGTGGCAAGACTCTAATTTATGAACTAGTCAGTCAGAAACGTTTGAGAGATTTCAAGCTCACGGAGCCAATTTCAGTACCTCATGCTCACACATGATTAGTTCACAGAGAATTTTAGAGAAAACGTGATAATTTAGCGGCTACAACAAATGGGACTACTAAGAAGTTCTTTTATTTGTGATTGTGGGAACCAACTGACTTGTAGACCTTGAGCAGACTACAGTGATGATAATGTCTTTCGATGCAATATATGTTGAAGGAAGAAGTCTGCTAGAATAGGGTTTTTTTGCTCGATCCAGATTGTGACTAAGGCAAATTATGATTATTCTTGCGATCTACATAATAAAAGCACAAGTTACACAGGATGCAGACGGGTAATACGATATATACGGATGATTGGAGAGCGCACAGATGCCTACACAGACTTGGTTATGTGCATTGTGCCGTTATCCACAAGCGGCATTTTGTTAACCCAACAACCGGAGTGCAAATATACACATCCACAACCTTTTGTTATGACTGCCGCTTACTACCATGGCTCGATTTCTAATAAACTGTTATTGTTTCGATCTTTGAAATAATATCATTATGCATCATCAGCATAGATGTACAGTGTCTGGCGGCGGGATTCAAGATGCGCATTCGGACCTGTTTGATACTCCTCACATAGATGTACATACATCTAAAAGTTGATGTTTACTCCAGGATTCAGACCTAGTTCTGTTTGCTTCAGACGCCATCGCGTTATCCACTATGCTATTGAATCCTGATAGCCACTTGCTTGTGCAGTGGGGTGACATTTTAAATTCTCTTGATATTGTTTACTTGAATTTTTCAGTTGACAAGTCCCAAATAGAACGAGAAGCGCTTCCAGGAATCCACTACCAGCCATTATACATCTTTGCAATATCAAGGCATTTTGTACAATATGTACAAATGCCAATATGAGACTGATTAATTGTAGTCCTAAATATCAATGAGAAAATTCAAGTAAACAATACCAAGTGAATTTCATGTCGTTATGTTTTCAAGGTCGGATACTACCCCTAACTCGGGGTCTGAAAAGTCGGAAAAATGAAAATCCCGCAAATGCGATGAAAATGATCTTGGTGGTGTCTTTCCATGGTATTCCGACAGCAGGCAATGGGTTTTAAGCGTTGTTCAAGCCCTAACGCTTCAGGCTGGGCTATTTCGTTTACCACCCTACATATGTGTTGTATGCAGTATAAGCTATATGGCTATGTAGAGCTGAAGGTCTCGTATGAGGCTGGAGGTTCGCCATTGTTATTAACGGATGGTTCGGCATTGTTTTGCCAAGTTTTGATGACTGTTCATGTAAAAAATTGGTTTGCTGGTTAATCGATTTCATTCATACTGGTGGTTGCTTTTCAGTGTTCCCGAGGGCCATTGTCATTGGGACATTGTAAGGCATGTCGCCATTGCTAACATTATTGAGTTTGACTGTCGTGTATGCGGAATAGGTCAACTTTGACCTGTTCGTGCTGTGCATAATTGGTTCACGTGATCATTGATCAGAATAACTATACATGTGACATGAATGTGTATATGAATGGTGCGGATGGTCCACCAGGATTTTTGGTACCTGTGTGGCTGAGCCACAGGAATGAGCTGTACTATTCAGATTGTAGCATTAAAGTCTATACGGTGTCTGGGTCTCCTGTGAAACGGGATTGAGCTGTACTATTTGGGTTGTCATGTGAAAGTTAGGATGGTGTTTAGTTGCCTAAAACCTAATGTAAAATTACCCTGACCCACAAAGGTATATTATATAACGATATTTTTAAGGATAAAAACCTCTCAATAACATAACCAATTGATTCACTTGGTATTGTTTTACTTGAATCTTTCCATTGATGTTTTGGGACTGAAATTGATCAGTCTCTTATTGGCATATGTGCATACTGTGCGTATGCCTCGACATTGCCTTAATTTACAAGCATTATAAGCAAAGATGGATAGTGGCTAGCAGTGGAATCCAGGACGCGCGTTTCGTCCTGTTTGGGACTCTTCAGCTGGATTGACAAGAAATACTTTGAAATAAATCAAAAGGCAAATGAACTATTATATTGACAGTTTAAGTACACATATACACACATACACAGATACATTTATATACATTATAGATATACATAGAATTCCACCATTACACATAAATCTTTCTCTATATTGGAGAGATAGATAGATAGATTACATAACGTGAATGAAATAGAATTCAATCATTCCAAAGATTGTTTATTTATTGATTGATTTTGTTTTGGAAAAATAAACAAACAAAAGACAAAATCAAAAAATCAATAAAAAATATTTATCAAAATGATTGTCTCATTTTTTCAATGTAAAAAATAGTTCATTTATGGTTAAAAAATCTTCCCGGTTGATTATGTAATATACAGATTTCACTAGTTGAAATCATGAGTCAATTGAAGTTAAACTACCATGAAAAACCTGGAAGCGCATTGCTGAGGAGTTCCATACTAAGATGAAACAGCCCTTCAGTGCTTCCAGGTATTCCATGGTGATCTACCTTCAATTGACTCTTGATTTGAACCAGTGAAATTTCTAAACTCTCCATAAAACCCCTTCTGATAATATACAGATTATTGATCGTTTTGAGAAACAAAAAAAAAACAAAGGGAGGAGGGGGAAGGAAGAAGGCGGGAGAGGGGAGGAGGAGATGTTGAAAAACAAAAAAAAAACAACGATGGAACTGATAAACTATTTAAATTTCATTTGTACATTGTAAATTAATTGTTTTCGCTGGAATGATAATAATTGATGATGAATCAACAATACATTTTGAAATGGATGATAAACTATCATTATTATATAAATTATTAGTTGTTAAGGGAATTAATGAACATGTTGATGATATATTGAATTGATTTATTGAATTTGGGCTAAAATTCATTGTTGTTGGCCTATATTCAATAATTGCTGGTGTTAATTCAATGGTAGATGATTTTACAATAGAATTATGTAGATTTGAATTCATGGATAATAATGGTATAGAATTATGAGTTGTAATATCACAGGTTATAGGGATAATAGTTGAAGGAGTTGATTCAGATATTGTTAAACTTGATGTGGAAAGTTTCATTTTGGTTTCATTTAGTGTATGATTCAATCTGTAAGTTAATAATAAACGAGAGAAAAAACAGACATATCTATTTATCATGAATGATTATTCACATTTATAAAAGTCTATTTCCAGCTTATCGAAACATCTTAGTAACTAAGTGTAGTGAACGAGAACATAGAGGGGTGGGGTGAGACAACCAAGTCGTGTAGGTTGAACGCTATATACGAATCCTAAGCTATTCCCGTAACCCGCAGACTAGAACTACACAGCGACTTGAACTCCAGAAAAGAAGACACAAGTATGAGAGAAAACACTTTATCCCAAGGTTCGTTTTAGTACAGAAAATCAAGGGTATTTATAGATGTTGGCGTCTGTTAAATTAACATCATATTTCAGCCAATCCTTTAACGTCATATTATGCTACGGACCAATGGGAGCACGCCACGCTGGAATTCTCGAACGTTCCATCATACTCTGATTGGCTAGGCCCTTCGGCTCCTTTTTGGGCCTCTGGAGACTCCGTTGAAGTTCTCCGGAAGCCGATCCAACAATTTGAATACAAAATTATAGAACACTAAATACTTCATCTGCCTCCACAGTAAACACTCTCTGTTCTTTTTCTTTTTTCTTTGATTTTAATTTTTTGCCATCAGACATTTCACTTTCTACAGATAAAACGTACTACTTATATCTGTAGACATCAGTAGCACAAATCATATGAATACTTCAATTGATATTATGTAAAAATTAAACTAATTTTCATAAGGACACTAAATATACTCTCGTGATGAATAATACGTGACTAGTCAATTATATTCATGTTGAAACGACGTCAACTATCATCGTCTTCTTATGAAAATGGGTTTTGTGGAGATTTTCAGAAATTTCACTGGTTGAAATCATGAGCCCATTGAGGCTAGAACACCATTGAAAACCTGGGAGCACTGAACAGCCGTTTCGTCCTAGTATGGGACTCCTCAGCAGTGCGCATCGACGATCCCGTCCCTCGCGAGATTCAAATGCAGGGCCTATCAGTCTCGCGCCAGGCGCTTAAAGAACTAGACCACTGAGTCAGCATCCAACGGTGTTAGTGTCTAACTTCAACCAATCCACGAAGTTGCGCCTCCATGCGCCATTGTCTTCAGTGAGTTCAAGTCTCACAACAGACGAAACGGCCGTCCAGTGCTTCCAGGTTTTCCATGGTGGTCTAGCTTCAACTGACTCATGATTTCAACCAGTGAAATATCATCGTCTTCGTTGTCGTTATCAAATGATAATTAAATTATGTAACGTTTTAAAGTTAGAAATAAAAATCGCTGTAACTAATGAGCTTAGCTCAAAATCAGAGTTATGTAAATTAAATTAGTGAAGTTTTCTTTTCAGACAGATAATTGCAGTATAACTGAGTTTATTAAATAAAATCGTGAACCAACAGATTCTAACTTAGGGATCTACTGCAAGATTTAATCGCACTAGTTTTGATCCCTACTGTTATCTCATTTCAGTTAGGAGTTATTCACTCACATATATGTTCTATTGTGAGATACTAACTAATGTTAACTGAAACGTTGTTTCGAATAAAATTTAAACCAAAGTGAAGCAAATAATTCAGCTCCATGTATTTACATTACGATGTTGTTAGAAAGCAAACAAAACATTCATCATCCTCTATCGCCAAACATATAATTGAAACAGGTCATAAGATTCGTCTTAACTTGATATTTGTGGTGTTGTACATAAGTGTAAAATGGGCGTATGCTAAGTTTAATAGTTGAGTTCATAAGTCAATTGAAACTAGACCAACATAGAATATCTATAAGCTTTGGTCGGCGTTTTCGCTCTAGTATGGAACTCTTCAACAGTGCCACATCCACGAGATTCGAGCTCATAACCTATCAGTCTGGTGCGCAAACACTTAACTTTTAGATCATTGAGCCGTCATCCAATCGTGGTCTAGCTTCAATGAATTCATGAATTCAACGAGTAAATTAATACAATACTATTTACATGAATGATTATATTTCAATAAGCATAGAAACTCCATATCATACTTACATAGTCTGATTGGATTGTGGTAAAGATCCATTTAATTTATTCATATTTACAAATAGATCATGATTAGATTGTAGTGAAAATTTATCTTTATCATGAATTAATGGAATATTTGGTATATTTGTTGATTGATGACGTTTTACATAAAGAATAATGAAGATTATACAAATAATAACAGACACTATAAGAATTACAATTATCATCCAACCTAAGTTACTTTTGAAATGTGAAAGATTTGAGTTAAATAGAGAATCTGCAATGAAAAAGTAATAAATATTAGATGTTTACTATACATTATGCTAAATTATATCAAACAATGAATGTTTATATGGAATGAAGAATGGAAATAATAACTAGACAAAGTAATGTTAGTTTACTTCTAGAACACTGAATATATACATATGCATCACATACTTCGTCATTCGATTTATTTGAGGGCCGGGATACTGCCCGGGTACTCAAATTGTAGTAAATAGTTTTCTAAGGAGGACTGTCGACAAGCCTTTATCCTGGAGGTCTAATCTGCAACGCAGAGGAGTGACGTTAAGAGATGCAGTCACATGGTATACAGTAACCAACAATAAGTTCATAAGCCCTTTATTCCCTTAGGATCCAGATAGTTCATGTGCACCACTGGTTGAGAATCATGGATTTTTACCTACCCTATATGGAACATCCGTGTCCACTAAGCCGAACATTCGTTTTTTGTCCTCTTAATTTCGTAAATAACACCATCTTCACGAATAGTCAGTGAGTAGATTTTCCCTGGTAGTGGCTGTATACAAATGGCCATGTGAGCTCATTTCATGAGGAAGAACAAACTCTCCCCATTCTTGGCCGCATTTGGGCATTTGGGGGCAATTAGTGTTAATCCTGTGACAGAATAACTTGTATGCTTAGAAAAACATCGACACCATCTTTATTCCAAATCGGCGAATGTACCGTATTTATTTCATTTAACACGTATACAAATGCCCAATTAAGGAGATAATTGTGTTCAAATTATGTTGAGTGATTATGAAATAACATGACAAATTTTCTAAAATATCACTTCGTATCTAACTTCATCAACTTGTTAAACACCAAATTTTATTGATCTCCTTATGAGTTGTTAATCACAAACCGCATTATCATTGAGTCTAATGGAAGCAGATTTAGCAAAGATCTTTTTTCTTTGATTCGTTGTATTTTTTCACAGAATATTCTCAGAACAAGCAGAATGAATCTGAATGATACTCAACTTTGACGAATTCAACCAATTTAATTTTTATTCATAAAATATGTTCCAGTCGATACAGTGACTATCCAAATGTACTATTATGAAAATTCATTTAATAGTTACTTAATTATCAATAAAACATATAAAAATGTATATTGGCAAAGATGAATAGTGACTTGCAGTGGAAGCCGATAAGCGTGTTTCGTCATAGTTGGAACACATCAGATGGATGTACTTCCATCTCATAGTTGGTGTTCACTCCAGAACTCTAACCCAATACTGTTCGTCTGAAACGTCATAGTGTTATCTACTTAGCTACTGAGTCTTTATCGCCATTCGCTTGTGAAATAGAGTGAAGTTTAAATCCATTTGATATGGTTCATTTCGGATCCTTACATTGATTCCACTGCTAGCCATTATCCATCTTTGCTTAAAAAGCTTGTGACTTATGACTATATCGAGGCATTCCGCACAGGATGCACACATGTCAATGTGAGAGTGGTCAATTGTAGTCCTAAACATCAATGAGAAGATTCAATTAAACAATACAAAGTGAATTTAAAACTTCAAACCATCGCAAAACCAAGTGGCTATCAGGACTCAGTAGTTAAGTGGATAACGAGATGGCGTTTGAAGCGAACAGTACTGTGTTCGAGTCCCAGAGTGAACATCAACTTCGAGATGCAGGTACATACAGCTGGTGAGTCACAAAGAAGACGAAACGTGAGTCCTTGTTTTGACTTATAGCCACTAACTATCTTTGCTTATAATACTTGTGACTTAAGGCTATATCCAGGCAGTCCGAACAGGATGCACATATGTTAATTTCATTATTATGGAACTTTACTTTTCTTGTTGAAAAGAATTAACAATTACAATAAATTATATTATCAGTAGTATATATATACCCTTAATATTATGGAAATGACGAAGTAATATCGAATAACTAGATCATATGATCATCTTGGAACTTAATCGACAGATTACAACAGGGACTATAGAATAAACACAATAGTCTAAAGTATTGATGTTTTAATCTATTAATTATGTTAGTTAACCATACATCAGATACAGATTTGAACCTAATCCTAAGAGTACATTTTCAATATTAATCATGCTAATCAGTAAAACTAAATCATACTTTCAGACAATAATTTTTCTTCATGACAAATATCTGTCTGATTTCGTACACATATCCATATACGATAAGCAATATGTTGGTCCTTTTGAAGTTTCACACCAAGAGATGATTGATGATTATGCCCACCGTGAATTGTTTGATTTGAAAAGTTGTCATCTAGAAAATATGAGAAATAATAATCAAAAAATGGTTGATGTAACTTTATATATAGAAGAAATTTATACAGCTAAGTAGATAACGTGATGGCGTTTGAGACATTCGGTACTGGGTTCCAGTCCTGGAGTGAACATAAACTCTGAGATGCAGGTACATCTAGCTGACGAGTCCCAAGTAGGACGAAGTGCGCTTCAAACCGGATACCACTACTAGCCACTATCCATCTTTACTGATAAAGCTTATGACTTGTAGCAATATCGAGTCAGTCCCCATAGAATGCACATATGACAACAAGAGACTGATCAAATGCAGTCCTAAATAACAATCGGAAGATACAAATAAACAACACCAAGTGAATAGAAATTTATATGGTTCATCAATATTCTATAATCAGTTGGTCATTGCTTATTGTTAATGTCATTAAATGACTAAACGTTTTACACTATAGAATCGGTTTACTTTGATAAATGCCCTTTGTAATTAAATTGTTGGTTAGTAAATACGTTTCTGAACATTCAAATTTAAGTACCTTATTCCTTTTCATAGTTAAATATACCATGGTGAATTCTATGGATGGTGACAAATATAAGTAGTATGTATCATCAGTCGAAAGCGAAATACCTGCAGACAGAAAGTTAAGCAGATCGAAGAAAAGAGAACAAAAACAGAGAGTGATTAGTGTGGAAACTAAGGTGTTGTCAAATTTCAGACGACTAACTGACATTTTGTAAATAAAGTGTTTACTGTATGAATTCATTTGGTGTTGTTTTTCTTGAATCATCCCATTGTTATGGAGGAATGCAATTGATCAGTCTCTTGCTGACTTATATGCATCCTGTACGGATTGCCTCGATACTGCCTAAAGTCACAAGCTTTTTAAGCAAAGATGGATAGTGGAATCCAGGATGTGCGTTTCGTTCTATTTGGGATTCATCATCTGGAAGTACCTGCATTCCAGAGTTAATTTTCTCTTCAGAACTTGACGTCACTTCAAACGCCATCGCGTCCTAGAGTGAACATCAACTCTATGTCGCATTTTCATTCAACTATTGAATCCTAAATAGGACGAAACCCGCATTCTGTATTCCACTGCTAGCCACTATTCATCTTTATTTACTATGTGTGGTTCTCACATTTGAGTAATATGTCCTTGTAATTTTATCTCCATTGGTGTTCTCATTCACTACGACGTTCTTAATAATGGTATCGTACAATTCTTACAGAAATTACAACAAACTATATCAATTTAATATAACAATTAAGGTTAACAGATAATGAAAACTTACTTTGGGTTAAATTATGTAATATCAATGATTGTTTATAATTATATTTTTTTGATTTTTTCATTACTTTCAATGGATTTGGATCATCTGAATTTGCTTGTGCATATTCTATTTTACTATTATCATCATCCTCATCGTCAACATCATCATCAAGATTATGTTGTATTAGAGTTGGATTTGTTTTTACATGATGACGTAACTGCAATTTAGAATCGATATGACCTCCATTATTATTATTATCATTATTGATGAATGGATCTATTTCAATGTGATCCATTGAAATCTCTTTATTCTTTGATATTATGAATCTGTTATAATCCATTGATGATTGACATGTATCTATGAATGTTGACCAATTTCTATGATTAATTTGTAAGTAGTCAGTTTTGATACAAAATAATTGTGAATCATTTCTATGTGAAAAGTTTAATTGAATGAAATTATTTTGATTGTAATTTATATTTAATTTTGGGAAGATAAGTTCTAAATAAAATCAATATAATAATAATAATAATCATTAAAATGATACCATACAATACAATAATTAAACTGTAAAGATATTCATATGATCAGAAAGAGGGGGGGGGTTGTGGAGATTTAATCGTTGAATTCATGATTTTAATTAAAGCTAGACCACCATGGAAAACCTAGGGGAACACGACAAACGTTTCATCCTAGTGTGAGACTCCCCAGAAGTGCGCATCTACGAACCCAATTCGTGAGATTCGAACCCTGTAACCATTGGTCTCGCGCGCAAGCGATTAATCACTAGACCACTGACTGGCATCCAGCGGTGTTAATGTCTAACTTCAACTTATTCACAAAATTCAGCGACACATCCACCATTGTCATCAGTCAGCTACTATCTCACAACAGACCCGGTTGAACACCACTGGTCAGTACTTCTCAGTAGAACTCCAGGAAATAATTCTTGGAGACCGTCACTAGTGATCATATGCTGATTAATATGAGAAGAGGTTTTTGTGGGTATTTTAGTCATTTTGATAGTTGAGATCATGAGCCAATTGAAACTAGACCATCATGGAAAACTTTGAAGCACTGGACGGCCGTTTCGTTTTTGTATAGGACTCCTCCGTGGCAGTTTTCATCCACAATCCTACCTGTATGTCTATGTAATTGTCTAACTTCAACCAATCAAAGAAGTTGCGCCATTGTCCACCTTTATCTTCAGTGAATTACTATTTCACAATGGATCTAGATTCGTGAATAGGCTCTGCTGTGGAGTCTCATTCTAGGACGAAACAGTTTTCTGATGTTTCCACAAAACCCCTCTCTGAATGTTTAATTCTAATTGTTTCTTTTCAAAAAATGATCCGAATTGAAATCATTTTAAATGGTCTGCCACAACAACAACTATTACTACTCCTATAAGAATTACGATGATATGTATATTGTTTAGTGAAGTCTGAATTGATTTGAGGTCCATAGTTGAATGAGTATTTGGTCTCGAGCAGATTGGAATGAATATAAGATTACTTGACAACATGAAAAATCACAAAAATAACTTATTAGAGATTAATTTAAACTCAATAAGTAAATCTACTGTCAAATGTAAATTTTTAAGTTTAGGGGTTGTGGAAATTGTTAAGTTTTTGATTGAGATCATGAACCGATTGATGTTAGACCACCATTGAAAACCTGGAAGCACTAGATGGCTGCTTCGTCCTATTGTGGGATTCCTCAGCAGTGCGAATCCATAATCCCGCCAGCAGGATCCAAACCCAGGGCTTTCAGTCTCGCGCGCGAACGCCCAAACTGCTGGACCACTGAGACGGCATCCAGTGGTGTTAATGTATAATATCAACCAATCCATGAAGTTGCGCGGTTGAAGGCCCTTGGTTGGAATCCCGAGAGCGGGACCGTGGATATGCACTACTAATGAGTCCCACAGTAGGACGAAACGGCCATCCAGTGCTTTCAGGTTTCCAATGGTGGTCTAACATTAATCGGTTCATGATCTCAAGTAAATCTTTCACTTAAATCCTTATAGAACAAAATGGGAAAATAAAAATAATTTTTGTTTGTAATCATACTCATTCATATGACACTGATAAATAGGTTTCTGAATTATGTAACTTTACTTCTTGGGTGTCTGCAAAATTAAATTTTTCCCGGTTTTAAAAATACAACCTAAAAAATTGCACAGTAACACACACACACACGCACACATTTACATTGACGTATAATGTAGTTAATAATGAATAATGATAAAGTACTTAGTTAAATTTTTGACTGAAATTAGTATTTATAAATAGTAGGTCAATTTGCAACTCATAAGCACTGATATACCTGTTAGATATTAATGTTGATCCAAGTTATTATATTACATTATATGGCCACGTGTATTCGACCACTGACAGGGAAGTCCTACTCACTAACTTTTTGTAAAAGCGGGTGTTATTTACAAAATAGAAAGGATGAAAAACGAATGTCCAGGTTAGTGGACACAGAGTGTTCATCTCGACGAGCTGGAAATCTTTTATTCCAAACCAATGGTACATATAGGATCCAGCATCTTGAGGGAACAAATGGTGTATGAACCAATTGTTGGTCACCGCCTGCCCTACATTGCTTCACAGCCTTGTGGAGTAGACCTTTAGGTTGAAAGATTCTGGTGTGTCCCTCTAAGGAAACCACCTTTATCGGTCTGCGCACATGGGCAGTAACACAGCTCACACACAAGCCAATTGACTTGTGTGGCATATATGTATTTTCGGTGCCCCTATGTAACAATATTTATGTACCCAAATAAATAAATAAATAACTAATATTCAGTAATGAAAACAAAGTGTTATCTGTTACAGTAATTACATGGTCAGTCATAGAAATTATTCTAACAGAAGCAAAATAGAAATTATGGAGTGATTCTGATACTCTAGATGTGTTTCTCCCATAGAGATTAATTATGAATCATGTCATTCACCGTCTCCAAGTATTAATTATAAATATTTCCTTTACCTCAACAATATCATTTGGATTCCTCAACATGGATCAGTACAATAGTCAGTGTTTTTATACAGATGTCGCTTTTTAGTCTGTATAGTTTATGATTTCTTCCAGCCCATCCCTACACTAGCTAATATCGAGGGTAGAGGTAAGGTGTGGTTGAGCATACTTAAGATACAAATACAGCCGATCGATTTACCACAACTGTAGTAAGATGTAAATTGAGTTAACGAAAATATTTCTTCCTTTCGATTCTATAAACCATAGGGACTACTGACGAGTCTCAAACTGAGACAAAACAGTCGCGCTTCTTGATTTTCATTGTAGTTCAACCAAGTCAATTCAATGAATGAATTAAGAAACTCTGAAACTACAACATAAACAGATTGAAAACTCTGTCAAGTGGCCTATCTGTCATGAAAAGTTGAATAATTCAATAACACAATTCAATATTTCACCTTTAGTAGTAATTGTATATTCTTTAGATCGTTTACCATGTCCTAAATAATTTTTTCCATAAATTACAAATGTGTAAATGGTATTTGGTGTTAAACCTGATAAATAATGAAAAAAAAGAACAAATTAGATTGTAAGTTTGATGCAAATAATATTTCAGCAGGAGATTTCTTCATATAATAAACATGTAACTTGATAAAATAGTCATAGAGTCGGTATCAAGATGTCATGTCGGTTCCGTTCATTGTATTCAAAGTGTAGATTCACATGTATCTGGGGGGAGGGAATTATCACTGATATGACAGAATCCGAAGTCATACGATACAAGATACTTTTAAACTCAGTTGAAGGATTACAGGTATTCATTAAAAGGTCGGCAATAAAGTAAAGGAGAAAAACATTGTATAATGTCTAGTTTCTCTTAAAGAGTTGGAAAAATCAAACTAATGGGAGATACAACCAAAACAAAAATGTAAACAATGACAGGTTTAAAGTTAACAAGAATTAATCAACATCGTGATCTACAGGACAAGTTGTGAGCCATATGTGGAGAAATACGAACACTTCATTTCTATCTGAAGCTTGTACCGATGATGTTTTTCAGAAAAACAATGAAATCTCCACGACCAAACCATCCAGCTCAGAGGACAAAACTCTATCAAAATTATCCACTTGAACTATCAATCTTCCTCACTATCTCAAAATTGTCATTAATGTGCATCTGTAATTTTGAAGAGAACCATACTCTCCAACTTACTAAAATTAGTGTCACTTAGTGTCATACTGAGACAAGTTACCTCTTACCTATTCCTGTTGGAAATTGTTCTCCATGTTACTAAGGTGTTTACACTGATTAATAAGTAAGCAACATAATATTGTCTCATCTATTATGTTAATAGAGTTCTATTTATCAATTATCAATGTGAATACTGAACTAAGTTATTGGATATTCAATACACTACACCTTTGGATTCTGTTTGTTCTCATTTTTCTAGAGGTAAATTGATGAAAATCGAGGTTTGAGAAAGTAGATAACTTCAATGAAATAGTTAGAAGGTTTGAATAATTTTTTCTGGTTAGCTTTTTTTTAGCGAGTTAGTTTTCTACCGGATGGGGACGCTAACCCGATGCCCAACCCTCCTCCTTTATCCATTCTTGGGACCGGAAGTAGCCCCCGGAGGGACTCCGGGAGGAGTTTTCAATGAAACAGTAACTGTGCGAAATTACAATAGTGGGGGGGGAGTGATTTATCATTTATGATCTAGTAAATAAATGAAGATATTCATTACTGATGTCAAGATCATTGATTGAAATTGAATTCAGTTACTGATTCAGATATTTTGTATCTGGTTTAAACAGAACGTTTCTAGGTGATAGACTGGTGAAATAAACGATGTACATTGTAGGAAAACTGAAATTAGTTGATTATACGATAAAATAGACTATATCCATAAATGACAAACCTGATATTTGACATTGTTGATATACTGGTAATCTTGGTACATGATTGATGAATACTGATTTTGGAAGATTATTTACTGCAGTTGATTGATCTTTATGTAAAACTTTTAAAAATTGTATAACAATAGTTTGTTCATAACCACCATCAAATCCAGGAATCCAACTAAGTGTTAATTTATCCCATGTAATTTCTTTTACTTCAATATTTTTTGGAGTTTCAGGTGTACCTATATTGTAGTTTATATAATAAAGAAAAAAGAAAGATTGTATCTGATTTAAACAGGATGTTATTAGGTAATGGACTAGTAACAAATATATTTATATTCATTTATTATGATAGGTTCTGGGTTTGAATCTCACGAAGCGGAATCGTGAATGCGAACTATTGAGGAGTCCCATAATAGGACGAAACGGCCGTTCAGCGATTCCAGGTTTTCAATGTTAGTCTGGCTTCAATTGATACATAATCTAAACTATTAAAATTATTATAATGTCCACAAAAACCTCTTCTGATATTAATCAGCATATGATCACTAATGACTGTCTCCAAGAATTATTTCCTGGAGTTTTATTGAGAAGTACTGACCAATGGAGTTCAATCAGGTCTGTCGTGGAATAATAACTCACTGATGACAACGGTGGATGTGTCGCTCAATTTAGTGGATTAGTTTTAGTTAGACATTAACACCGTTCGATGGCGGCCGGCTCAGTGCGTCCATGGTTCAAGTCTCACGAGGTGGGATCGTGGATTTGCATTACTGAGGACTCTCATACTACGATAAAACGGGCTGTCCAGTGCTTTCAGGTTATCCATGATGGTCTAACTTTAATTGACTCATGATCTCAACCATTAAAATTACCATAGTATCCACATAAACTCCTTCTCATACAAATCATTTTCATCTGATTGGTTCAATTGAGTGTAATCTGAAAACGACTGCTCTTATTATAAGACTTGATTACAGTAGTATTTGAGGACAAAAAAACTAGATCAAATTGAAGAACAGTATATATTGTTTTAATCCAATTTAAGTGGGGATTATCTTCATACAAATCACTTCTAGAAATATGAAGTGATTCTTTATAATCATCTCATTCATCTAAGATTGAATTCATAATTACATAAACAGACTGTATTTTCAAAAGTCCTTAAATTTATATGTATAAAATTGAACTTATCTTAAAACTTCTAAAGATCAGTATAATGATTGTTGAGTTTCAATATGAGATTATGAACTAATTAATGTTAGACCAGCATGAAATACTTGAAATCACTGGACAGACGTCTAACATTGGTCGGTTAATCATCTCACTTAAAAATAAACAATTTTCACAATCCTATACTGATAATTATCATGTGCTCGCTCGTGAATAGGTGTGAGAGGTAATTTTCGGAATTCTAACGAGAAGCCGTGATCAGTGCAATGTAATCCGTGTCGGATGTGAGGTTGTTACCCACTGAAGACAATGGAAGATGGTGGTGGAATCTCGTGGACTGAATAAAGTTAGACATTATCACCATCGGATATCGGTTCAGGGGTCTAGAGTTTAAGTGTTCTCGCATAAAACTGAAGGTTCTGGGTTCGACTCTTAATTAAGGGTTAATCGATGAGTACTAGTAAGAGTTCCATATATATATGATTACGTCATCAAGGAATATCAAGCTTTGGATAACATATTGGGATACAAGTCGGATGAACAAAAACAATGTTCTCATAGTGAGTTTATAATTTATGGACTTAGAATGTCCACCTATTTACTTTGGATAAGTGAGGGTTATAGATTAGTGTAAAGAATTAAGATTAGGATTCACTGTTGAACGTTAGGGTTGGAAATAAGATTTAATGTTTTCATCACGAGTTGAAATCAGCTATAATGTCAAAACTGTATTTAGCGCCAAAATCTAAGATCTGCTATTTTAAGCCCGATTGGTTCGTTTATAAATTATAGTCTTGCCTGTTTTCATTTTTAGAAATAGTGTCATTAATCATGTAGAAATCAGTCATCTAATTTCTAATTTTCCGCCTGGAGCCCCTCCAGGGGCTACTGTCAGTCCCTAGCCCGGATAAAGGATGAGGGTTGGGGATGGGGTTAGGAATAAAGTTATAAATTGTCTTTTTAGAAACATATTACTTAGTGAAAAGATTCAGGATATCAAGACAGAGTTCCATTAAAAATAAGTGAAAATTGAAACTAAATGTACATTATATTACCACTAGTTTGAATCAATATTCAAATGAGAAATTAAAAATAATTATAATAGTTGAATTCATAAGTCAATTAATGCTAGACCATCATAGAAAACCTGGAAGCCGTTTCTTTCTAGTATGGCACGCCTCAGCAGTGTGTATCCACGATCCCACACGCCACATTCAAAGCCAGGACGTTCGATCTCACGCGCGAGCACTTGACCTGTATACCACTTAGCCGGCTACAACGGTGTTAATGTCTAACTTCAACCAAACCACGAAATTTCACCACCGTGGATGTACACTGTTGAGACGTCCCATACTCGGCCGATACGGCCGTTCATTGCTTGCAAGTTTTACATGATGGTCTAGCTTTAATTAACTCATGGATTCAACCATTAAATTACTGCAATCTCCACAAAAACTATCTTCTGATAATAATCATCATGTACTGACTAGTAACTTGCTTCAAGATGTATTTCCTAGAGTTCTAATGAGAAACGGTGACCAGTGGAACTCAATCAGATCTATTATGAGATCATAACTCACTGAAGATAATAGTAAACGATGATACAATTTTGTGAATCAATTGAACTTAAACATAATATTTAACATATTCGAAGAATATAATATTTACATTTTCTTTTATTCATACACACTATTAGTAACAACCTAATGTGGGAAAGAACAAACCAGATCGCAGTGGAGGAAGAAATCAGGAAAAAGCGCTGGAAGTGGATAGGACACACATTGAGGGAAGCACCCAACTGCATCACATGGAATCCTCAAGGCCAAAGGAAAATAAGAAGATCAAAGAATACATTACGCCAGGAGATGGAGATAGAAATGAGAAAGATGATCTAGAATTGGATGGAACCAGATAGGAAGGCCCAGAACAGAGTGGGTTGGAGAATGCTGGTCAGCGGTCTATGCTCCATTATCAGTAACAGGCGTAAGTGAAGTGATAAAGTGACACACTCACTAAATAGAAACCTTATCACAGTAATCATTGGAAGATAGTTAGTTCACTTACTATAATTTTGTAATAGGATGATACATTGTTGACAACCTTCATCATTTATAATATACGATAAATAAACACCAAATTTAAGCACAGAATTGAATTCATTCCAAACTAAATTCGTTAAATATAATGAATCCATATATGTAACATTCATAGTAACATAATAATCTTTTAAAATTGATTTCACTTTATTTCCTGTAAATAATTCTATATGAACATTTTTAGTTTTATTATTCTGATTAACATTTAATTGATTTTTTTTCTGCATAGCAACTAATATTAATTGATCATGAGGTATTTGTTGTTGTTGTTGACATAATGATTTCATATATTGATTTTTATAAAAACTATTTAAATATCTATCAAATGTTTGAAATGTTATATAATACCAAATGATTTGATTAGGGGGTGGATTAGCTTTAAAAAAACATGTTAATTTCTGTGTATGATTTTGAAAATATGATTCTTCTGAAATCAGCGTTGAATTGATTAAATGTTTATGTAGTTGCTGTGGAGATTGTTGATAAGGCATTATTTGTCTTATTATAGATTGATGTAATAAAATAGGTGGATCTAGATATTCAAAGTAAAACAAAAAAAAGTAAATACAATTAGAGGTTTTGGAAGGGGTTTTGTAGATAGTGTAATAATTTCAGTAGTTGAGATCATGAGTCAATTGAAGCTAGATTCACTGATGACAATGGTGAATGTAATGCTTAATTTCGTGGATTAGTTGAAGTTAGACATTATCACCGTTGGATGCCGACCAGCTGCTCAGTGGTCTTGTGGTTAATCGCTTGCAGGTGAGACCCATATGTCCAAGGTTCAAATCTCGCTAGACGAGATCATGAATGCGCACTACTGAGGAGTCCCACAGTAGGACGAAATAGCCCTTCAGAACTTCCAGGCTTTCCATGATGGTCTAGCTTCAAATGACTCATGATTTGAACTATTATAATTAGAGGTCTGTATGTAAATGAAAAAAGAAAAAAAAGATATTACGCAATGTAACTGGACTATCATATACATTTTAAAACGAAATGATTGTAAACTGGAAATTGATATGTTCATTACAAATGAAAAAATAAATTATATTCTGAAGACAGCTTCAAAAGTTATTTTTGTTTAGAGGTGTAGTGTCTTAGCTTTCTTAACCAGTCACCTTGATAAGCGTTTTTATATAAATCCCCAACGATGTTTGAAATCAGAACGCAATAACGAAACAGTGACTACAGTGTATTTCCGAATAGCACAGATCACAAATCTACAACCATGTCGAGCGAATTTGAAACAGAGCGGTGAATGTATAAGTAAGCGAGCGAATTCAGAAGAGGATTTATGGTCAAATCGAATAAGGCTCAGATAGGCAAGGCAAAGGTTAATAATACGACTTGAGTACATATATACATGGGGGAGAGAATGATTCATCGAGCGATAATTTAAGCGATTAACATTTAGGCTAGATAGAGTGACTGTCACATTTGATCAGCCGTATACGTTTATACAGACATGATAATGATCATAATAGTACAAAGCAGTAGACGAATTGTTACTGTTCGTATAACATTGTCTGTTACATAAGTTAATGAATGGTCTTAACCAAAATTTAACCATAATATAAGTTAATTATAAGAGAGTTGCTATAGTATCATGATAATTTTGGTACAGAAAAATACGTTATATGTGAAAAGTAGAATAAGACTAAATTATTTACAAATATGGTTCTCAGAAGGGGTTTTGTGGAGATTTTAAAAATTTCACTAATTGAAATCATGAGTCAATTGAGGCTAGACAACCATGAAAATCCTGGAAACACTGGACGGCCGTTTCGTCCTAGTATAGGAATCCTCAGCAGTGCGCATCCACGATCCCGCACTCTGCGAGATTCTCCTAAATCGTTTTTAAAGAATATTTACTGAGACTATGTTTTATGGATGAACCAATCAGATATAAGATAACAGGTCCTGAATTTTGGCACGAAATTCACACATCCATTTGATTTAACAGCGTTTATGGCATTATAACTGATATCAGTTCGTGATGAAAATCCTAAATCAAATTTCTAACCTTAATCATCAACTGTAAATCATAATCTATATTCCTCACATAGATTTATAACCATCATTTGGTCCTGGTTATTAGGTGAACACTCTCAAAGTCACTTTAGCGTCGCTCAAAAATCGTTTATAAATTATAGTCTTATTGAATATTTATCAAGGAGATTATTCAAAATATGATTAAAGCATTGGAAACTATTATATTCTAAGCAAAAGAATTGAAATTATAAACAACAATAAATAATGGTTATCAGTGAAATCCATGACGCATGTTTCATCCTATTTAGGACTCGCATATGATACACATTATGCCAATAAGAGACTGATCAATTGAAGCTCTAAACAATAATGAATAGATACAAGTTAACAATGTGAAGTGAATTAAAAGAATTGAAAATTTATAATGACTTTTAGGGTGAGACTAGAATTTATGGATGATCTTTGAGCGACACTAGACTGATCTTGAGAGTGTTCACCTAATAACCAGGACCAAATGATGGTTATAAATCTGTATGAGGAATAAAGATTATGATTTACAGTTGATGATTAAGATTAAGAATTAGATGTAGGGTTTTCATCACGAACTGTCATCAGCTATAATGCCAGAACACTATTTAGCCAAATGGATAAGTGAATTACGCGCCTGTTATCTTATATCTGATTTGTCCGTTTATAAGTTATAGTCTCGTCAGTCTTAGCTATTATAAAGATTCTCTATCTATCTATATACATACTCAATATGAATCTAAAAGAAAGTTTAAGAAACTATTTGACATTAATAATCAATCGATTTCTTTTTCTTTTTGTTTGTAATCTAAGAATCATTTAGTTGCCAAATGGACTTTTGTTTTTTCCCCATTCATATTCTTGATATTAATGATTCATGAATGTATTAAATACAAAGTAATTCAATAAATAGTTACTATTTATTAATGGATAAGGTATATATTTAAAGGTAAATTGTTAATGTACTCTTAAGTGGAATTATGATTAGACTGAATAAAAACAAAATGAAATCATTAAAGGAGATAAAGAATAAGATACAAATGTCTTTCATATAAGATATTATATTGTGGCATATATGTATGCTACTGATGTCGATAGATATAAGTAGTATATATCATCATTTGAAATTGAAATGTCTGGAAGCAGAAAGTTAAGAAGGTCGAAAGAAAGAGAAGAAGAAGAACTGAGAATAATTGGTGAGGAAATGAAAGAGCAATGAAATCTAAGGCGGTTGATTGACGTTTTACAAATGAAGTATTTTGATGTGTCGTAATAAGATTTTACCAAGTGATTCTGTAACTTTGTATCTAGGTACGTTTGAATTTCCTCCACTGTTGTTCTCGTTCAATATGATAGATCTGAAAACAAATTATTATGTTTGACGACACACATAACACTGCAAGTTTATTCATAGAGATCATTGCATAAAAGATAAATTAAGTTTGGAATCTTTTCAGGGACAATGTTAACTATGGGTTCGTAGTATTGATTGTACCTAAAATTGCAAGTACCAATGTAATAAACTTAAAATTTCCACATTAACCAAAAAAGAAAAGAAAAAAGAATGAAATGAATGAAAGGATAAAAATGAAAGAAAATATTGGTAAAACTAGGCACCAGATACATATGCACCATACAATAATACGGAGAATCGAACGAGATAAAAGATGTAAGGTGCGTGTAAAAAGATAAAGAAAAATACAAAACAATAACGGCTACAAATTACTGTATGTTAGTGGAATAGTAATAATAATGACGGAAACAGAAAGGTACAACCAGAAATAATTCCTTCAGTTAGGGAAGTTACAGTTACTTTGTATGAAGAAAGTAGAAGAAAATTACAGTGGGATCGCCACTTGCTTCTATTCTGAGCCATATCTGATAACGTCTCTAGTCACTGTGTTGCACACTCTCTAGGACGCCAGCCAGGGAGTCGTGAATGACCAAAAGAAACCAGTCCTGTGCAGCTTTCTTCCATACCACAACACCATGTCATACCCTGACCACCTCACTGCTTATTCCAGCCAGTCCCAGAGTCGGCAAATAATACATGACGAGGAATTCTCTAGGACGACATTTTTAGAACATGTCTAAGACGCCGAATTATCGTCTCTGCGTCTGAACACATGATGCCGAACCTCTGCAGTACTAACATGGTGTTGCCAATGGATGTCAGCAATCCTTCGGAGACAACGATGATCAAACACAGAGAGTCGTCTAACATCCTCAACTCAGAGAGGTCAGGTTTCACAAGCATAGAGCAAGACCGCTCTCACAGACGCGTTGTAGATCCGAACTTTTACAGCCAGTCTGACATCACGAAGGCGCCAAAGATGACTCAGATTGGAATAAGCCGCTCTGGCTTTCACTATACGTGCATTGATCTCATCACTCACGCCAGCACCAGCACTTATGCAGCTACCCAGATACACGAACTTCTCGACTACTTCTATCTGCTCACCATCCAGAGTGAGTAAGGGATTACAATCCTGCCAGTCTTGTAGAATTACTCTGCACTTCGAAAGTGCGAAGCACATACCATACCTACGGACATTGATTGCCAACTGATTAAGTGCGGATTGCATGCCTTGGGCATTATCGCACAGTAAGACAATATCGTCCGCATACTCAAGGTCGAGAAGTCTTTCTCCAGGCAACAGATCCACACCTCCATTACTTATATCCATCAGATTTGTTTCCAGAATGTCATCAATGGCTCGGGTACTGTAACCAGAGGAAATAGAAAACAATTATTCAATCAATATTCTACAGATTACGTCACTCTCGTCCTTTGTTCATAGTATCGATGCTACGTCTCCTCTGAAAATCACCTAAATGCTCTTATCCCAGTTAATATATCTCATTCCACATGTGAGATTAAAGGAACTTAAAGTAGTTAATGGTTTTCATTACTCAGTCCACCAATTAAAGCTCCCTACCTGCTAGTAATTTACATCCACATAGACTGTTAACTTTAACTCAACTGAATGATATCTAACTCAAACATTACACAATGAAATAACCTGACACATTTATTATAGTTGACCTGACTGGATCTGTGTTATTAAGTATCGCTTTAGTTCTTCTTTAGTTTCAGTTTCCGTTTCATTTTCTCTAATTGTATACTATCCTTCATGGTAATTGAAATGATCTTTGATACACCATCCATTCATCAATAGAATGTCCATTTAAAAATAATGGAAGCTAGACACCACCATAGGAAACCTGGAAGCACTAGATGGCTGTTCCGTCCTATTGTGGGACTCCTCTGTGGCAGTGAGCATCCATGATCCCGCCGCGTAAGTTTCGAACCCATGTAGTCATTGGTAATATCGATTATTTCTAGGCATCTAAGAAATTTATTCTTATAATCTAGGCTTTACAAATCAGATAAGTTGTCATGGAAACATAAAAAAACGAAAAAAAATACATTGAGCTTGGAAGCACACGCTTTATAGTTGATAGTAGAGAAAATGTTTTTCACATACATTTTAAAAATATATGTACCGGGTTTGAGTATTCATAACCGAAGTTATTGATTGCTTGACATGTATAACTTCCTTCATTCATAATATGAAATGACTGACATTTAGTTTGTATATTATTTAATGATTCATTATAACCCCATATTAATTCACTTGTTGTCTCCCATGTATATGAACCAGTTTCATATTCAATACATTTAACAGTAGTCAGAATTTTCCTCCATGAACAATGAATCTGAAGAAAAAGACAGTCAAACAGGTAATATCAGAAGAGGGTTTTTATGGAGATTTTAATAATTAAATGGTTGAATTTATGTGTCAATTAAAGCTAGACCACTATGGAAAATCTGGAAGCACTGGACGGCCGTTTCATCTTAGTATGAGATTCCTCAAAAGTGCGCATCGACGATCCCGCACATCACACGAACGCTCAACGCTCAACCACTAAACTAATATCCAATGGTGCCAATGTTTAACTTCAACCAATCCACGATATTGCGCCACTGTCCACCATTGTCTTCGGTGAGTAATTATTTCACAACAGACCTGGTTGATCTTCACTGAACATGGCTTCTCACTAGAACTCCAGGAATTGCTTTTGGAAGCCAGTCATTCGTGAGCACAGGATGATTATTATCAAAATGGTGATTTTGTGATGATTTTCGTAATTTAATCAAAAAATTAATGTTTTTTAATGTGCTAATGGATAGAAAATATTGAGTTTTCTGATGTTTTTTTAACTCAGCATCAGTTGCTTCTTCGGAGAATATGGAAAAACCTTGGTAATGATAACTATAAACTTAAATTGTAAGTAATTGTTCAAACAAAACAAATATTTCATAATAGAATATAACCAGATGATTACATTACCTTAATTCAGTATTATGTTTTTGGTACAATATAGAATTTTCAACATTGAAGATCTCAAGAAGTTCCCGTTTCTCATTTCTTGATCGATTACGTTGACAAATATTGAGTAATTGACAGCTATAAGTTAGCAGTCCAGGAATCTACATCTGAATAATGTATATTATTTTCCGATGCATATCGTCAGTAACCACAATATCTCGGATTGGGCCTTTTGTAACTTGTACAACGAATTGTAATACACCTTTCACAAGCTCACTTGAATAGATTATGTGGTTAATAGCCATAATGATGTATTAAGACAAACAAAATTAGATAACTTGTTGAAACATCAAGATGGCAAGAACAAGTATCCCAGATGTTCAAGCACGCTGTTGTAGGGCAAGTGAAATATCACTGGGCCCTAGCCAAATCATTCAGCAGTTGGGTTACAGAATATCGAAAAGATCGTCGATCCCTGTCAAGTTCGATGAAAACCAACGCGCATTAGTTAATCGTATGCCATGGACTGGCCCATGCGGTGGTGTTCTAGCTATCTTCTCTGTACTCATTCTTTCTAATACATTTCCATAATAACGTCCTTTGTGTTATACGGTCTTCAAAGCAGCCATAGTACATTGATACGTCCAAGGGGTAGTCCATGTTAGATTCTGACCACGAGGTGTGCCTGGAGGTTAGCTGGTTCATCATAGCATTCCCGTCTAACTCGAGCAGACCTCCAATCATTCGATATAGATCATCTACGTTGGTGATCTACACTATGATTGTTATATTTATATCACTATAATACAGAATCAACTATCTGACTTCCCTCAGATTCAACATTTATCATTTACATTCATTTTGAATATATAGTAAAACATTCATCAATATGAACTTACATCATTTAAGGTTCTTAGCCTAATAGAATTCATAGTAGTTGATGTTGTACGAATAATGGAATTATCATGGAACCAATTAATTTGTGGTGCAGGTTTACCATGTGCAACACAACGAAGATAAGGTGTAGAAATTGAATTAAAAGATGGATTTAATACATTATCAATATTTGGTTGTTCAATTATTTGTGGTTCTTCTAAACAACAATAAAAATAACCAACTGTCATATGTTATAGTTACAACAAGTTTGAAAAATCTGACATCCATCATCAATAATCCATAGTGATGTGTAGTCTCACATATTAATGATTATCTAATTATAGTAACTTAGTGAATAATGCGTTGCTGTATGGAGAGAAATGCTGCAAGTTCACACTTCTGTCTAATCATCAACCAATGACGGGTTCATACTCGGATAAAACACTCATTCCATGGTGTATGCTACTTATATCAACATAAGTAGTATACAATGCTAGTCAGAAATAGAATATCTGGAACCAGAAAGTCGAGAAAATCGAGAAGGAATGAACGGGAATACAAGGCATTTGATATAAAAGTACAGGAACAATGAAGTATTAGACGATCGACTGATATTTGCGAAGGAACATCCAAGTTTAAGACAATTGATGAACATGTTGCAAATGAAGTATTTACTGTATGGTTCTCAGATTTTACTAAGATTTTGTGTGATTTTGTGTTTAAATACATTCGATTATGCCCACTTGTACTCTAGTTCACTGCAATTCTGTATCTCAATACACACCAGCAAGCGAATTTATTTTGAAATACTAATTGAGATATGAATTCTGGGAACCTGGTTTCCTAATATCAGTAGTATATTGTATTAGTAATCCGTAATAAAGTTCTCATTCATGTAGTACGTTGTTATGAAATGAACTTAATCAAACATTATCATGGAGATAAAAGTATTTTTCAAACCAAGATGTAACAAACATTAATCGAGACTGAACATAACTGTTAGCATTAGTGTAACTAAGTCACTGACTATTGACCTGGGTGATAAATTCACTGAAAATTAGAATGTGATAGAAGTCTTAAATGTGAACCAATGGATGTCAAATCATTATTAAGACGATATTAGGCTGATAAATGTTGCATGAGATCCTTAGCTAGAACGCGGATGTGCATAGATGAAGAGTTATCTTACGTAAGGAAGTAATGGCTATCCAATGTTTCCTTCATTCTCAGTTGTTGACTAACTAATGTTAGTCTGTGTTGAAAACAATGAAATAATAATGAACTACAGACGATCTACGGTAAATTTCACATATAATAGATACTTGCAATACGATTAAGTTGTCAGTTGGCCAAAAACGACGAGGAAGACCGAAAAACACATTACGCTGAGAAATGGAGTCAGACATGAGAAGAATAATCAACAATTTGATAGAACTAGAAAGGAAGGTTCAGATCAGAGTGTGTTGAAGAATGTTGGTCGGCGGACAATACTCCATTGGGAGTAATTGACATAAGTAAGTAAGAAAGTTAGTGACAAATTGTTTGTCGTACTACAATATTCAGCTGATCAACCATACTTTGTAAAGTAAATATGTTTACCATATGTAATGGAATGATTAAATAACTTATATATTGTAATAACAATAAACTTACCTTGCACTGTAATACTGACAGGATCACTTATTGCATTACCATAATCATTTTGTACTAGACAATAATAAAAACCATCGACAAATGTATCCGTTAAATTGATTAATAATTGATCTTCATTATCAGAAAATTTCGGTTTAAATGGTATTGGAGTAATTAAATCTGATGATTTTGTTTTACAAGAATTTGGACTCCATAACCATTCGATCGAAGGAATTGGAAGTCCAGGGACTAAAAGAAATAATGTTAAAAAAGAAAATTGTATCTTCCCTTCATTCATTGAATATTCATGCTACTTTAAATATTGTGAGATTAAACGATATTGTTTACGAAATTCAAACTCTAGAAATGTATGCAGTAAGCCTTAGTGTGATCTTGTTGTTGTATACATTACTTACTTAGTTACTCCTGTTACCCATCGTCAAGGAGGATAGGTTGCTCATTGTCATTATCCATTCAATTCTGTCCTAAGCGATCATTTACAGTTCTTTTCAATTGCTATTCATCCTTATCATGTCTACTTCTAGTTTCTGATGTAGTGTGTTATTTGGCCTTCTTCTCTTCCATTTCACTTCAAGACTCCACGTAAAAGCATGTCTCATGATACAGTTTGATGATTTTCGTAGTGTATTTCCTATTCACTTCCAACGTCCTTTCGTAATCTCCTCTTCAGTTGAAAGCTGGTTTGTTCTCTCTCAAAGTGAGCTGTTACTGATGGTATCCGGTTGACGGACATTCAGTATATTGTGTAGACAACAGTTCATAAATACTTGTACACTTTTGATGAAAACTATGGTAGTTCTTCAAGTTTCAGCTTCGTACAGTAGGACAAACTTGATTTTCTTATTGAAGATTCTGATTTTGATATTGTTTGACAGTTGGTGCGAGTTTCAAATGGCCTTCAAGTGTAGGTATGTTGCCCTCACTTTTCTAATCATCGCCTTTACCTCTGCATCGGATCATCCTTGTTCATGGATGATGTTTATCAGGTACGTGAAATATTCCAAATCGTACAGAAATTCTCTATCACATGTTATTGGATTGCTGTTTTCTGTGTTGTAATTGAAGATCTTGCCATTATGGTATGGAATATATCATAAAGCGTCCAATTCGCAGAATGTCCTACTTTTAACGGCATTTGACGATATTGTGTTTTGTAAAATGTATATAAAACAATTTGTGTTTTTGATTGAGATCATGGATCAACTGATCTAAGACCACCATTAAAAAACTGGAAGCACTAGACAGCTGATTCGCTCTACTACATTGGGACTATTGAGCAGTGCGCATCCATATACCGCTCACTAGATTCGAACTTAAGGCCTTCAATCTCGCAAGCGAACGCTTAACCCCTAGATCACTGAGCTTTTATCCAACGATAATAATATCTAACTTCGACTGATCCACAGAGTTACGCCACCATCTTCCATTGTTTAAGATAGATAACTGTCTCTATCTGACATAGATTAGCTTCACTGGTCACGACTTCTCACTAGAACTCTGAGGATTCTCTCACGAAGCCAGTCACTAGTGAGTACATGATATAAGGTTATTGTGATTGTTATGTTTTTTGGTTGAGATCATGAATCCATTGATGTCAGACCATCACTGAAAACAATTCAAATTGTCAGTTAGATTTTTTTTCACATGTCAAACAAGTGTATACTTAACGGAACAAAAGGTCTTATGGCATACAAAATTTTGATAACTTACGTCTAGCATTCATATTACATTGTAATATTACAGTTATGTTTTCATCAGTTTGCAGATTTGAAGTTTTCTGAATTGTTGGCTTACCAGGTGGATCTTCGTTAATGAAAAAAAAGTAACACCATAAGTTAGGTTATTTTTTAACCAAAATCTTGTAGCTAAGTTGAAAACACGATGGCGTTGTAAGCGAACGGCACTGGGTTCGAGTCTCATAGTGAACATCAACTTTGAAATGCCGGTTCGTCTAGCTGACAAGTCCTAAATGGGACAAAACGCGCTTGCTGCATTCTACTGCTAGGCCAGTACCCATCTTTCCTAGACGTATATTATCTGGGGCAATACAATCTTTTAAACTGTTATTCCCCTGGAAAAGCTCTATACGTTCCTAAGAATTCTAGAATTGCAGAAGTCATTTATGTCATTATCAGTTTATATAGTCTAAATGGGTTAACATCATTCGAATTTCCATTATTTCAATGTTTCATAGTAGTGCGATATTCAGAAACGGACAAATATGAATGATAACAGCTCAATAAACAATCGATCAATATATCTATCTTATATTAGGTAAGTTTCAGCACTGATAGTTTAGTGATAATAAATTTGACTTTGACAATAAGTAACGAAAGATTGAAGTTCAACTAGATACATTAAAACTATTCAGATTATAAAGACAACTTAGTGATGTAACAAGCCAAGATAAAGGTACCCATCAAAATCGTTAGTTTACTTCGTTATTGTGTTTGACTTTATAAGGTGGAGATAACGTATACAACTGCGATACTCGAATGTATAGAACCCTTCAGTCGCAAAATCAGAAGACAGAAGAAAGATGGAGGACTGTTTGTTGGGTAAAAATCCAAAATCATGAATATTTATAGATATTAGCGTTTGTTATAACATTGTTATACTTCAGCCAATCTGCAAAGAGGCATGTTACACTACCGTCCAATAGTAACATATGACGTTAATATTCTAAAAAGCTCCACCACGTTCTGATTAGATGGAGACTTTTCGAGTTCTTTAGAGCCTTTCGAGTCTTCGTCGAAGTTCCTGGAAGCCGTCCTAACACTCTTACAGTTACATTGTAAATTATTGATCTTGTGTTATTTCTTCCAAACTGTTCCGTTTTTGTCTTATTGTTATTTTATTACTTATTTGAAAGCATAGATATTGGTATAAGGGGGTACCAGATACATATACGCCACACAAATCTCATTTGATTTGTATGAGGGCTGTGATATTACCCGGGTGCCCAGACCAAAGCAGGTGGTTTTCTTAAGGAGCCACACCTGAAGCCTTCGACCTATAGGTCTGATCCACGAGGCAGTGGAGCATCGCCAGGAGATGCAGTCCCACGGTAGCCAGTGACCAACGATTGGTTCATACGCCATTTGTCTCCCCAGGATCCTGGAGCTAATGTGTACCATTGGTTTGTAATCAGGGTTTTTCAACTCCCCTAAGTGGACTCTCCGTGTCCACCAACCCGGTTAAAGCGCCGGACATTCGCTTTTCGTCCTCTCAATTTCGTAAACAACAATAATGCCACGAGAAGTCAGTGAGTAGGACTTCCCTAGCAGAGGCTTTATACGCGTGACCATGTGAGAGCATTTAGAGGGAGAGAGAGAGAGAGCGGACTCTCCCCAATCTCGGCCGTAACAGGGCATTTGGGTGCTTTGTCTTATTGTCAAATATATAAACTTTGTCATATAATACCCTGAAATCGTTAGTTTCTTCTTTCACATTTTATTCTAAAAAAGAATGATATTATTAAAAATATAGATGTATGTGAACTAGATAGACATTTGAAGAAACAAACACCGTATTACACGAGTTAGTGGCCATCTGAATTACGAGATGGTGTTTTGAGCGAATGGTACTGGGTTCGATTCCTAGAGTGAACATCAACTCTAAGATACTGGTGCATCTAGCTGACAATTCCCTAAACGGAGTGGAACAAGCTTCCTAGTTTCCATTTCTAGCCACTATCAATCATTGCTTATAAAGTTTGTGATTTAAAGTTATATCAAGGCAATACGCACAGGATGCACATACGCCAACATGAGACTGATCAATTGCAGTCCTAAACATCAATGGGAAGATTCAAACAGGCAATACAAAAATGAATTAAAACTTTGTCAAATATTAATTTTAAACTGAGTTGGATCATGAGTTGTGAAGGCAGACTGATGTGCATAAGTCTCCATTTTCCTTATCAATCATAAAACGATCCATAATCTGTTTATATTACATTTGTTTTATAATAAAGTGAAGCTCTTGAGTTTCTCTAGTCTGAATCTTATTGAAGCGACTACCTTTATTGCGACATATAGTTTAAGATGTATAATATCCAACTTTAATATCTCTAAAGATCAACTTCATGACTCCAGTTTATTGAGTCTATCGTAACAAATTGTCAACTATTTTGCATTGTAAATTCACTCGATGTTGTTCTGCTTGCTATTTAGAAATGCAATTAATCAGTACCTTACTGGCATATGTTAATTCTATGCGGACTGCCTCCATATTGTCTTAGGTAATAAGTTATATAAGCAAATATTGATAGTGGCTAGTAGTGGAATCCAGGATTCGCAGTTCCTCCTATTTGTATTGTGGGTTAGAGAATACTGGTCAGTGGCTTATGCTCTATTGGGAGTAACAGGTGGAAGTAAGTAAGTAACTGTTCAATCTGAATGAAGTACAATCATTTATAAAGCTTAGTTTTGTTAACATTATACTAGTAAACTTACAGTAAACTAATAATTGTGTTTCACTTTCTCTACGATAAACAAATGGTTCATTATTCTTTAATTTAATTGTATTTTCAGCTGCACATACATAAATACCAGCATCATCTATTGTAACTGAATTAATTTGAAGCATTGGACTTAACCAATGTAATCTATCTTTACTTCTATTATAATTAGATGAATATTTAGTTACACTATTCATCGTTTTAAATAGATCATTATGGTTAACATGTTTTGACTTCATCAAATTGGATGAGATCTTGTTCGATTTACGATACCAAAAGACATTCATTGGTGGTGGATTAGAGATAGCATCACATGATAAACGAACTGATTCACTATGACGTGTATAGACAACACCAGTTGTTTTAATTATCGGAGCAACTAAAAAATAGTAAAACGGTAAAAGTAATCACTAAAGAGTATCAGCGAAGTCTTTAAATAATGAAACATACTTAACGTAGTAGGACTCAGACAAGTGAGTCTATGATTCATCGATGATCTTTCGGCGACGCCAAAGTGACCTTCACAATGAATACCTACTGATTACGACTAAATGACGGTTATTAACCAGTTAGAATTATGATTTACAGTTGATAGTTAAAGTTGGAATTTACATTTAGGGTTTTCATCATGAACTGATATCAGCTTTAATACCGAAACTTTATTTAGTCAAATGTATGGATAAGTTCCGCGTCAAAATTCATGACTCGTTATCTTATATCCAATTGGTTCGTCCATAAATTATGGTCTCGACATTAAACATCTAATGACTCAAAATTTATACTTTGATTATATATGACATATTACAAACAAATATGGATTATGCTATTAGCCTCTTTGCAGTGTATAAGTAGTTAATTCCTATAGGTTATGTGAAAATTTTTATTTCAAAAGATCCTTTCTTCGTTGATTCCACAACGTTTAATATACTTTCTTTAACCTACAATAAACTTGACAGCTTACTATCCCTCTTCCTTTTTCTTCTGGTGCTCGACTGGATTTCTAAGACCTCCATATCTGAGAGAAAGCATGGAATACACTGGGCAGTTCGAAGTCACTCAGAAGATTTTGACTTTGCAGATGAACTGACCCTTCTATCCCGTACACGCGAACAAATGGAGATAAAGGAAACTAGTGTAGCAGAAGTCTCTGAATCAGTAGGCTTCAATATACGCTAAGGTAAAAGCAAACTCCTCAAATACGACGCGGAGAACACCAACTCAGTCACACTTGATGGAGAAACTCTGGAATAGGTGGAAACATTCATATACCTGGTCAGCATCATCAATGAACAAGGCAGATTTGATGAATATGTAAAAGCGAGGATTGTCAAAGCAAAGGCCGTATTCCTACAATTGAAGAATGTATGGAACTCAAACCAACTGTCAACTTATATCAAAGTCACAATCTTTACTACGAACATCAAGACAGTTTCACCATACGAAGCTGGAACTTGAAGAACTACCGCAACGATTATCAAAAATGTACAAAAGATACTCAATATCGTTGACCGGACATCATCAACAACAATCTACTGTGAAAGACAAAAAACCATTTTCCAAATGAAGAGAGAACTAGGAACTAGGACATACCAAACTGCATCATGAGGCAAGTCCTAACATAGAGTCTTAAATGGAAACGGAAAAGAAGAAGGCTAAATAACATGATAAAAATGAATAGCAGTTGAGAAAGGCGAGACTCTAATTTATGGACGAGCCAATCAGAAGCGTTTGAGTCATGGCGCCAACTTCAGTGCTTAATGCTAACGTACAATCGGTTCACAGGGGTTTTCATACAAAACGTGATAGTTGAGCGGCTATAACAAATAAAACGGCAAGACTATAATTTGTGGATCAATCAATCAGGTATAAGATAATAGATCTCGGATTTTAACACGAAAGCCTTTCATCCATTTGGCTAAATAAATCTCTGGCATTATAGCTGATGTCAGTTCGTAATGAAAATCCCATATATAATTCTTAACTAAGGCAAAATACGAAAATTATTGCCAACTGGACAATAAAAGCATCAGTAACACTGGCTGCAACCGGGTACTACAATATATACGAATGATTGGAGAGCTTAAAGACTCCTACATAGCCTTGGTTATGTGCATCGTGTCGTTATCCACAAGTATAATTTTGTGCACTCAACAACTGGAGTGCACATAAACAATATTGAAGCGATGTGGTCGAGGCTGAAAGAGTTTTTGAGACTTTATCATGACTCCAGGGGCCGACTATTCTGTAGCCGTATGGATGATTTCCTCTACTGCATGCATTACAATTTTAGAACCTCTGAACCTCTTTCTAACCTTGACAAGTTTTTGAACCACGTGTAAAAAGTGTATCCACTTTATTTCCTTGGTTTTGTATAACATATTTTTACTCTATACTAACTGTTTGCTGATTGACTAATACTTCTGAAGGTCACTTGAGATTCGTTCAACGGTCGTCCATAAATGAGAGTCTCACCATTGAAATGATCGCTTAGGACAGAGTTGAATGAAGAGTACTGGTAAGTGGCTTATACTCTTCGACGAGTTGTAACAAATATGAGTAAATCTAATCATCTTGAAAAGGTATTTCAATACAATCAATATATTTAACTTACAATACAATTCAATTCCTAACGACTTTTCTATACTTCCCATAATATTTTCCGCTGTACATGTAACATTTATTGTCCAATTATCTTTGGTAAATTTACCCAATTCATCTATTATCAGAATTTTATTGAATACAGCTGAATTTAATTGTTCTGTTTCTTCCAATAGAATAATAATCATAATAATAAAAGAATGATATTCATATGTTATTTATGTTTGTTATAGGTGTGCAAATGAAATACAAATGGCTTTAGATTGTGTGTTTTTTTCTAAGATAAAAATGAATGAAAACATATATCAGTGGTTAAGCGTTCACACACGAGACTGATAGGTCCTGGATTTGAATCCCCCAGGGCGGGGTTGTGGATATGCACTGCCTCTGAGGAGTCCCATAGTAGGACGAAACGGCCGTTCAGTGCTTACAGGTTTTCCATGTTGGTCCAGCTTCAATTGACTCATGATCTTAACTATTAAAATAACTATAATATCTATGAAACCCCTTCTGATATTAATCAACATATGCTCAAGAGTGACTGGTTTCAAGCGGTATTTCCTGGAGTTCCAGTTAGAAGCAGTGACTAGTGAAGTTCAATCAGTTCTGTTGTGAGATAGTAACTCACAGAAGATAATGGTGGATGTGTTGCCCTATTTAGTGGATTGGTTGGAGTTAGACATTTACAACGTTGAATGCCGGCTCAATGGTCTAGTGGTTATGCGCTACCATTTAAATATGACAATTTTCCCAAATTACAAAGCAAAACACAGTTAGAAATAAAAGAATGTAACCAAGCATAATTCATATGGCAACAATGATAAATTGTTAAGTAATTTTATTAAATGAAAATAACTTCTTCTCCCCAAGTATATTGACCAAAGAAGATTTATGGATTAGAAATTATTGCCTCAATCTAAGGTGGCCTGCTTGAATATCTGGACCACTTGTTTTTGCCATCTAGATATTTAAACAAATTGTCTGTTTTTTTGTTTGTTTCAACAGATTATTATGGTAATTAATTGCATAACCTATTCAGGTGTGTTTATGAAACGTTTACGACATTTCTCTGTACAAAAGAGCCTAATCGGAGACATCGTGATGACTGTCAATATGCATCGAAAAGAAAATATACATTAATCAGATGTCGATTGATTGGACTGCTAACATCTAACTGGTGACCACTCAGGATCGATGAAGAAATAAGAAACGAAAACTCGCTGAAATACTTTATGTTGAGAATTCTAATATTGTATCAAAATCATGATAATGATTAAAGCTAATATGATGAATGAATCATGAAACGAAGAGCATATACCGAAGCTTCCGGTATATGATTTATATGATTACTAAACTTTATGAAGACGTTACGCAATATACGACGATGTCAATTAGGATATATAAGATACACATTTTTTGAATATTTGCCAGGTTTTCCATGGTGGTTTAGCTTTGATCAACTCATGAATTCAACTATTAAATTACTATAATATCCACAAAACTGCTGTCTGATTGTAACTATCATATGCTTACTAGTGACTGTCTCTAAGAGGTAGTTCCCGGATTTCTAGTGTGAAGCTGTGACCACTAAAGTTCGAACGTTCAACCCTAGACTTTCTGTACATACACGAACCTTGGAGTAAAGCTTTTCATCCATGTTTCGCAGCTTTTCTCTCGCATTCAAGTCACTGTGTAGATTTAGCCTGGGATATACTAGTTGAGCTTAGGCAACCTAATCTAACATTCAACTAGATGACTTATCAAGTAAAATAGCTAATTTTGTCAAAGTTATACGTCACAATGATTGACCTAAAGACGTTGGACTACTTTCACATTACTTTTTCAAATAACTTATAATTCTTTATATGAAATCAGTGAATACGAATTGACAATGCCAAGTACATTTCAATATGAAGTCACTATATGTTATATACAGTTGCGTAATAGAAAACCTAAGTATATGTATTACAGAGTTATTACATAATTTTGATTACATACTTGATATTATTTGACCATGTTGATCTATCCAATATATAGATGGTGTAGGATTTCCTATAGCATGACAAACAATAGTACTTGGTTCTTCGTATAAAACAATCCAAGGTTCGTTTGAAAACTGTAAAATTACTGGAGCATCTGAAATTATATTAGTAAATAATAGAGAAGAGTTAATATATTACTGAAACATCGGTTCGTAAACATTTAAAGTATAACGAAGGTTTGTGTTATATCCGGACGAGAAATAAATGCATGGTAACCGCCAGGAATTGCTTATGGACCGTTATCATATAAATATTGTCTATGTCTAAGTAACTAAATTGTAGGTATATTCATATTCCTTCTATTTATAAGTTTCCATTTGACCTATTGACCACTCTTATACGGTTTACTATCCTTAAGTTATTCCCAATCTATTAGTTACAGTCTCTCATAATCGCAGCCACTTTTGGGTTTGATCTTTTACAAATGTTATATTCTGTACTATGGTATGATGTGGTATGGTTTGTTTGTATATATGTCTATATATATATGTCTAAAATATATGATTTGTACAGCGGGGCCTGATATTGGTGTCCTGAACTCAACTAGCTGGGTCAGGTGAGTATCTGAACCGCCCATACTGTTTTATGTGTCACTGAATCGGTCAGTAAGTCAATGTTCTAGCTGGTGATTGTATCACATGATATATTAACCACGATGTGAGGATATAACAGTTTGTATTTCTATTTTAGCAGTTTTTGTTTTATACTTACCTCTTAGAAAACGATGACGGTGTACCAAAATATTTCTGACTATAAGGAAACATATGATACAGTATATGAAATGTAACCGAAGCGATCACGTTATATATAGCATTTTACAATGGATTCTTTATAATTAATTTCAAATATTCATCTGTTACCATGACATTCGTGTGATAACAATACTGAAATTAGCATATTACTTCGGTGTTTGTAGTATTAACTAATATGGTCAGATAGATGACGTTCATTTAAACCGTATTTTCCTGAATTACTGAGTAACTAATTCAAATGAATTTTATGCGTTTCAATCTCGAAATGAACATAAACTTAGAATCTAGATACTTACAAATGAAAAGTTCACAAATCGCGATTTTCGAATTATTTTGCTAGCCGCGTCTCAAATTAAGATATTGCTTGAAGGTAGTCGATAGGAAACCTTCGACTTTGGTTCCGTGCTACTTGACACTCTTTAACAAAATGTACTTGTAATCTTGAGCGAACTGATACTAACTGACAAATTTGACCCAAAGTCATCCAGCTTTACTGTCAGACATGTTACCACTGGGCTATCTGGGACGCGACCAACCTTTTGTAGGATTGACATGTAATTACAGATGATTAATAACTAGGTGGTGATCAATCAAACTATTATACTTTAAACTACAAGTTACAATTCGTTGATTTTGTATCATTTATATGACTGCTTGATATAATCTCTCCAATAGTTTATTCAGAGTTAAAATACGTTCGTCTTGATTAACTTTTTTCAAATCTGTTGGTACTTTATGTCAGATGAAGAAAGAAAATACAGATTAGATTAATCAAAAATTAAAAAAATCACCGTATTTCACTTAAGTCTATGTTCACAATGAAAGACAATATAAGTCATTATGTAGTTTTAGTGATATACCTTTATGTCCGTATTATTTCTTTAGTTTAAGTGGTTTAAATAAGTTTTACCGGTTAGCATATTTTTAACGAGTTAGTTTTTTACGGGATGGGGACGCTAACCCCATGCCAAAACCTCCTCCTTTATCCGAGCTTGGGACCGGCAGTGGCCCCAGAGGGGCTCCAGGCGAAAGAAGAAATTAGAAAGAAACGCTGGAAATGGATAGGACACACATTCGGGAAAGCACTTAACTGCGTCACAAGACAAGCCCTCACATAGGATCCTCAAGGCCAAAGGAGAAGAGGAAGACCAAAGAACACAATACGTCGAGAAATGGAGGCAGACATGAGAAAAATGAAGTAAAATTATTATGAACTGGAAAGGAAGACCCAGGAAGGAGTGGGTTGGAGAATTCTAGCCGGTGGCCTATGCTAAAATGGGAGTAACAGGAGTAAGTAAGTAAGTATTTCTTAGGTTCATTGATGATAAAAAACTAAACGAACTGGGTTACAAGGAAGGATATAGTCATTTTCACTTATAAAATACAGGAGAAGTAGTAGTGTAGTGAACGAGAACACAATTGAGAACAATCGAATGTATTTGAATACAAAATTACAGAACATCTTAGTAAAATCTGAGAGTCATATAGTAAATAGTTCAATTGCAAAATGTCAATCGATCGTCTTAGACTTTATTATTACATTATTCCCATATCAATCGCTCTCTGTTGTTGTTCTATTCTCTTCAGTTTTCTTAAACTTCAGCTACCAGACAATGCACTACGTATATCTGTCTACATCAGAAGACACACTACAGCAATAGTAGTAGTAGTAGTAGTAGTAGAAGTAGTAGTAGTAGTAGTAGTAGTAGTAGTAGTAGTAGTAGTAGTAGTAGTAGTAGTAGTAGTAGTAGTAGTATAATTAATTTTTATTTAATATGTTAAGCAATAATCCGTTCTTATTAGTTTCATTATACTGGAATGCTGAATAACATACATAAAGTAGATTACATTGACGTTTACATGTAAAGTGCTAAAAATGTTATTAACGATTTTAGTTTGCAATTTTCTTGCGTAGCAAAAAAAACAATCTCTTTACTGACTTTTTGTTCTACTTGTCATAGTTACATCTACATAAGATTGAATAACGATTTTTTTCGTTGGAAATATACGAGAATTTGTCAATTATATTCAATTCAAGCCCTAACTTGGAATCCTGAAGGGGAGATGGAAAGAGGTAGGCCAAAGTACACATTATGTCGCGAAATAGAAACAGAGATGAAAAGGATGAACTACAGCTGGAAAGAGCTGGAAAAGATTGCTCAGGACAGGGTTGAATGGAGTGTACTGGTGAGCGGCCTATGGTCCTTCACGAGGAGTAACAGGTGTAAGTAAGTAAGTAATTCAATATTGTATATGAATTACTTATGAAGAAGTTTTTAAAAATGATCATTCTACGTTGTATTCTACTAATCAAGATTTGAAATATTTGCGGTTTGTATTCTGCACACATTCTGTGCTCACTGTCTATCTTCCCTCAAACTATGAGGCTAAAATCGCTTCATATCATTCTTTCTACGAACTAATTCTTTCTTTCTGTATTATATTCTTGCATAAAATCTCCCTTGTATATATTACACCATTGAGTTAACGACTTCTATTAATCCACTGTTCGTTTTGCTGTGCTAATGAAGTATGGCAACTTGAACCGATGTATATATGTGCCTGGTCGTACGTTGTAACTGGCTGACTGACGGGCTGCACACATTCTGTAAAGTATGTTTTCCATGGTTGGCCTTAGTAGTTTTCATGAACATTAATTCTGCCTGTAGTCCCTCCGAGGGCTACTGCCGGTCCCAAGCTCGGATAAAGGAGGAGGGTTGGGCATGAGGTTAGCGACCCACTCCCGTAGAAAACTAACTCGCTAAAAAACGCTAACCAGAAAAAAAAATATTAAAACCTTAATTCTTTAATAGGTTAACAGTTTTTGTAATGAAAAAATAAAATGAATTGTAAAACTTACATCTTACAGAGATTTTATATGGTTCTGATATACTTGCACCTATTCTATTCACAGCTTTACATATAATTCGCATACCATCATGTGACCGGGATACCTTCAGTCGAAAATGACTGGATGTATTTCCATAAGGAATATTTGTTGGAAAATACACTGATGATCTTGTGTTCTACAATGAAAATGAGAAAAGATTCAAATGATCGACTTGCAAATAATCCACTAGTAGTGAGACATTCATTATTGTTATATTAAACTCGATACGTTGATATTGTCAATGTTTACACCACAGACTGAATTGAAGTGGACAAACAATGAATGTCAGGAAGTACTGGAGAGATTACTCGTCTTAGTGTGGTACTCCTTTATGAGATGCTTCCTCAACCACACCGAAAATCGAATTCTAGATCGTTGACGAGCACCCAATATTAAACTATTAGGCTGGAGTCCAGTGGTTAATATAAATGACTAGTCAATCCACTGTACTGCAAAACAACCTTTCATTGCCTACTATAGATTATTGTTTCCAACACAAAATTATTGAAACCCACTGATTACGACTACTCACCAATATCCAAGAAATTCCAGCGCGCGAGTGACGCAATTTCGTGGATTGTTTGAAGTTAGATATTAACATCATTAGACGCCGGCTCAGTGGTCTAGAGGTTAAGCGAGCGCGCAAGTGGGATCGTGGATGCCCATTGCTGAGTAGTCCCATAATAGGATGAAACGGCCATTCATTTCTTCTACGTTTTACATGGTGATCTAGCTTTAATGGACTCATGTATTCGACTATTAAATTACTATAATGCCCACAAAATCACCCTGTGATTATAAATTCAATTCAGTTTAATTAATAGAACTACCAAACGTTTTACGATATTAAAACTTTACCGTGTCTTTCTATCTTTGATTATCAGTAAACCTTATCTATTACTGTCTGAATATTGATAACATCAAATGAAATGAGGCTGAAATAAATTTTCATACAGAGATATAGAGTGATAGGTAAGACTATAATTTATGGATGAGTTAATCAGATCTAGGATAACAGATCTTGGATTTTAGCTCAAAATTAATTCATTCATTCACTTGTCTAAATAGAGTTTTGGTACTTTAACTAATGTCAGTTCATGACGAAAACCATAAATCTAATTCCTTCCTATAACTATCGACTGTTATTCATAATTCTAAATTCTCACACTGGTTTGTAACTCTCATTTAGCTCTAATAAGTAGACGGACATTCTTAAAGTTACTAAGGCGTCGCTCAATAGTCATCCCTAAAGTATAGTGTCACCGAGTCATATTAAAATTTTACAGGTTTATCAAAGAGGAAATATAAATGAATCTGGTGAAAAGATGACGATCAACAAAATTATGATGAAATTTTTGTTTGACTGTAAACATCTCAAAATGCAAAGAAAAATGTTATTGATGTATTTGGTATTGTCTACTTGTATCGTTCTATTGTTGTTTAGGATTGTAATTGATCAGTATGTTATTAGTAAATGTGCATACTGTGCGGATTGCCTAAATATTGCCTTAATTCACAAGCATTCTAAGCAAAGATGGATAGAGGCTAGCAGTGGGACCAAGGATGCACGTTTCGTCCTATTTGGGACTGGTCGGCTGGATGTACCTGCATCCCAGGGTTGATGAACAGCTCGACCCTCAGTAGCTGAGTTGACAATGGGGTGTAGTTTGAAGTGCACGGTGATGGGCTCAAACTCTAGAGTGAACATCAACTCTGGGATGCTGGTACGTTCATCTGAGGAGTCCGAAATGGGATGAAACGCGTGTCCTGGATTCCACTGCTAGCATCTATCCATCTCTGCCTATAATATTATTGATTGTTGAAAAGTAAATTACATGTAAATAGGTTACTTACTTCAATTGTCTTTAATGAATCTTTTATATTGAAGTTTATATCATGTAATGTATCCAATTTCATTGAAGTTATAGATGTATTTTGTATTGGAAGAAATGACCAAAATATTTGAGGTGGAGGTAATCCTTTATCACTTTGACATAATAAATTAAGGTATTCACCTTCAATAAAATATAGTTCTTTAGTGGATTCTTTACTTAATTCATATAATTTTTCATCAGTCATTTGTATGTTAACTGTAATAGAAGGTTTAGCCGGAGGAGCTAAAAACGTGAAATGTCAACAAATGTGATTATCTCCTTGAAAAAATTACAAGAGACTTGTAAAAAAAGAGAGTTTTTTGCAACCATATTTACCAGACAAATTCACTTGGTATTGTTTGTTTGAATCTTTCCATTGATGTTTAGGACTGCAATTGATCAGTCTCTTATTGGCATATGTGCATACTGTGTGGATGCCTCGATATTGCCTTAATTCACAAGCATTCTAAGCAAAGATGGATGGTGGCTAGTATTGCAATCCAGGACGCGCATTTCGTCCTGTTCGGAACTCGTCAGCTGGATGTACCTGCATCTCAGTGTTGATGTTCACTCCGGCACTCGAACACAGTACCCTTCTCTTCAAACGTCATCGCGTTATCCACTTATCTACTGAGTCCTGATAGCCACTTGCTTGTGCAATGGGGTGAAGTTTAATTCACTTGGTATTGTTTTACTTGGATCTTCCCATTGATGTTTACGCCTGAAATTGATCAGTCTCTTATTTGCATATATGCATACTGTGCGTATTGCCTCGATATTGCCTTAGTTCACAAGCATTGTGAGAAAAGATAGATAGTGACGAACAGTGGAATCCAGGAGTCTCGTTCAATTTAGGTACTTGTCAGCTGGATGTACCTGCATCTCAGAGTTGATGTTCACCCTTAGGCTCGACCTCAATACCGTTCGCTTCAAACGCCATCGCGTTATCCGTCTTTGCATATTATGCTTGTGAATTAAGGCAATATCGAGGCATCCACACAGTATGCACATATGCCAATAACAAACTGATCAATTGCAGTCCCAAACATCAATAGGAAGATTCAAACAAACAAGATCAAAGGAATTTAAACTTCACCTTATTCCATAAGCAGTTGGCTATCAAGACCCAGCAGCTAAATAGATAACTCTGTCGCGCTTGAAGCGAAAGATTATGAAATCGAATCCTAGAGTAAACATCAACTCTGAGATCCAAGTACATCTAGCTGACGATTTGCAAGCAAAACGAAATGCGTGTCCTAGACTCCACTACTAGCCACTATCCATCTTTATATGATTACCAGCATTTAAATATTACCCCTTAGTAGTTAGCGATGAAATAACATTTCAAAACTGATTGTTGTGATTGTTATTTTAGTTCTTATACTTGTTAATTCTTGTGACGAATAGGGGACCGGCCAGAAATCTCCAGCATTCTCTCTCTCTCTGTCGATCTTTCCCATCTCGAGTTTCATTCGTTTATTCTTGATGTCTACCTTAAATGTTCAGGACAGGGTGTGATCTGCTTTGGCTCTTTTCTTTCTGACTTTAGAATTTCGAGCTTAGATGTGCTTTTGTGTTGTGATTTGATGATTTCCGCATGGTATCCGTCTGGTGTCCGTCCCGTCCAACTCAAGTGGATTTTACTTATCTCTTAATTATTTGAAAGCCAATTTGTTCTCTCACACAGTAAGATGTTGCTGATGGTGTCTGGCCAACGGATGTTTAGTAGCGTGTGTATAAAACTGTCTATAAATACCTGTACATTTTTGCTGATGGTTGTGGGAGTTCTCGAAGTTTCGGTTCAGAACTTACGTTTGTATTGAAAATACTGACTTCGATGTTGACTGACAGACATTTGTTTTGAGTGCCATAACATTCTTCGGTTGTAGGAATGCTGCTGTTGCATTGGTAATAAGTTCGTTCAGATTCACATCAAATCTTCCTTATTTTTCAACGATTTTGACCAGGTTTTATACGTCTTCTAGAACTTCTCCATCAAGTGTAATTGGGTTGGTGTTTACCATGTTGTATTTTGGGGTCATGTTTTTTCCTTTGTGTATTTTGAGGCTTATTGCAACAGAGGCTACTGCCACACTGGCTGATTTCAGCTATATTTGTTGTTGTGTATTGGATAGAAGAGCTAAGTTATATGTAAAGATCAAATTATCTATCTGATTTCAAGCTGTTCTCTGAGATGTGTTTTTGACCTTGTCAATATCTGTAACGAAAGTTGCATTAAACTTTCGTAATGCCGTTTATTCAGCCGCTTAGTGCATATTTCTCCCCAGTTTTTTCTTGAACAAGCTGATTACCATTAGTATAAGAATGATCAATACAAATAGTGTACCCCAGGTATTAATTATTTATTGATTATTTGATCGGGTACACACATGTATATCTAGCTTAAAGTCACACTGCATTTCTAAGCGATTGTTGGATCAATAAGTTACCTAAACTGTTGAAAGAATCGAACATCTAACAAAGTTGAACAAAGCGATTGAGACAATACTACTTAGAAATAAAAATAAACTCAATTTCATTTCTACTTTTGTCTTCATTTAAGGTGGAAACAAAGATACTTCGTGTAGATTTATTGTTCATTTTTTATGATGTCTATTGTTTGTTTGCTTGTTTTAAAATGTATCTACTTTTAAAGAAATAGCAAAATTATTTATGAAACGAGCTTCTGAACTTTTGTCATAATAGCTCAGAAAGCCCTGGTAAGGACGAGGCTGGGGAGAGTTATCTCTCCTTCCCCAAATTCTCTCACATGACCACGCGTATACAGCCACTTCAACGGAAGTCCTACTCATTGCCTTCTCGCAACACGGGTGTCATTTACGAAATTGAGAGGAGGAAAAGTGAATATCTGGCCCTTTAATCGGGTTGGTGGACATGGAGAGTCCACATAGGGGAGTTGGAAAACCCGAATTACAAACCATTGGTTCACAAGGGCTCTAGGATCCTGAAAGAACAAATGTTGGTAACCATCTATCAAAGGACTGCATCTTCAGACGTTGTTCCACTGCCATGTGAATCGGACACTTAGGTCCAAGGCTCCGGGTGTGGCTCCCCAAGAAAGCCACCTAATTCGGTCTGGGCACCCGTGAAGTATCATAGTCCACCCACAAACCAAGTGATTTGTGTGGTGCATATGTATTCGGTGCTCTTTTGTACCAATATTTATATATTCAAAGGATTGTTTATATAGTTGATCTATATGAATACCATGGCCAAACCTATGAAAAACATCTTAGATATATCAATTAGTTTTTGTTCATTATTACATCATTGACTTACTTTGAACAATTAAATATCTATTCATTGTTACTGTATTAACACCAGCTAACATTGCACATTGATAATTACCACTATGATATGATTGAACATTAATTATTGTTAAAATTCCATTTGAATGTACTTGTATATCAATCAAATGAATTTGTTCTCTAATTATAAATGGAAAGAAAAAGAAAAGACCGTTTAACTAAATGTAAGATGAAGTCTGCATATGGAATGTTTAATTACTGAATTTCAATGTAACCAGTTTTGTTCATACAGTTACGAATGAATAACTTCAATAGATCATGGTATATCCAACACTGTTGTGTGTATTACTGATATTGATAGATATAAGTAGTATGTATCACTGATCGAAAGTGAAATACCCGATGATAAAAGGTTAAGAAGATCAGAGAAAAGAGAATTATTGGCGTGGAAAAGTAAGAACAATGTAGCCTGAGACAACTGATTGACATTTCGCAAATGCAGTATTTATTGTATGATTCTCAGATTTTACTAAGACATTCTGTAACGTTGTATAGAAATATATTTGGTTGTCCTCACTTGTTCTTTCGTTCACCACAGTAGCAGATATCAGGATATGGTATATTGGAATTTTTCAATAAGTGACATAATTATATGATTTTCTAAATGAGATTTCATAAACAGCGTAAAATGTGTCTTGAATACAACCCTTGTCGTTACCTTATTGAACGTGGAATACAGATGGACTAATATTTCATTTTTCAACTACATTTATAATTCTGATCCTATATTCACATCAAAAATATTTTTGTTTCCAACTTAAATAAAAGATCATATAGTTTATCGATTTATCGAAAAAAGGAAGTCGGAAGAATACACTTCGTCGGGAATCGGAAGCATATATGAAAAGGATGAATAGCAACTGGAAAGGATTTCCCAGAACAGTGTTGGATGGAGAATGCTTTTGGGCGGCCTATGCTCCTTTACGATGGGTAACAAGCGTAAGTAAGTAACTAATTCACCTATCCCAATTTGAGATCTGTACTGATAAGTAACATATGCGCCACAAAAGTCACTTGATTTGTGTGTGCGTTATGATAATACCTGGAGCCTTCGATCTAATGGTAGAAATCACAAGATAGTGGAGCGACGTCAGGAGATGCGGTCCCATGGTAGACGGTGACCAACAGTTTGTACATACGCCTTCTTTTCCCTCAGGATTCTTGTAACCGATGTTCACGATTGCTTTACAATGAGGTCTTTCCAACTGCCCTAGGTGGACTCTTGGTGTCTAACAACTCGGATAAAGCACTGGACACTTGCTTTTCATCTTCTCACTTTCGTAAATGACACCTGTGTTGCGAGAAGGCAGTGGGTAGAACTTCCATGCGAGTAGCTGTGTACGCGTGAAATTAGAAGAAAGTAAAATCAATTGACTACTGACTATGAAAAATTAGAAGGAATTCCAGGTCTAAAATGAGATATCAGGCTTGAATCCCTAATATACCAAAGCATTTGACAGTATAGGGTTGTGGTGATTATTGCATTTTTGAGTGAGATCATCAACTGATTGATAATAGACCATCATTGAAAACTTGGAAGCACTAGACCGTTGTTCCATCCTATTGTGGGACTCCTCAGTGGCAATGCACATCCACCATCACACTAGTGGGATTCGAACTCAGTCTTGCGCCAGGCGCTTAACCAACTAGACCAGTGATCTGGCCGGCATCCAACGATGTTAATGTCTAACTTCAACTAATCCACAAAATTGAGCGACACAACCACCATTGCTATCAGTCAGTTACCATCTCACAACTGACCCGGTTGAACTCCACTGGTCACTGTTTCTCACTAGAACTCCATGAAATTCCTCTTGAAGCCAGTCACTAGTGAGCATATGTTGATTAGTATCAGAAATGGTTTTGTGGAGATTGTAGTAATTTCAACAGTTGAGATTATGAGTCAATTGAAGCTAGATCACTATGGAAAACCTGGAAGCAACTGTCACTATTCAATAACAAATATACCCATAGTATGAAGTGATATTCATTCATCACTAAAAACTAGCATTCTGTCATTATACTGTATACTTTATTGTATATCTTTAATAGATCGAATATATATCCACACTTTCACTTAGAAACAAAACATCATAGTTTCTATACTGAATATGAATCTTTAAAAAAATCTACTTCATCGAATGGAATAATTTATTCATTAAGCAAAAAAAAATAAATAAGGGAATTATTCAAACATAATTTATTTCCTACTTTAGAATTAATAAAATTAATTTGTCTAGATTCAAATAAAACTTTAATATGATAAATAGAAAGCCAATGAATCAGTAGAGTGAAATGAAGTAGAGTGTGATGTAGTAGAGTACAGTGGATTGTAGTGAAGTAGAGTGGGGTGGAGTGGAGTAGGTTAGAGTGAAGTGGAGTGTATATAATTGTAAAAGTGACAAGCCAAAGTTTCATTTCGTATGGCAAAACAAAATAAAACATTCTAAATATATTCACTTGATAGTGTTTATTTGGATCATTCTATTGATGTTTAAGACTGTAATTAATCAGTTGACGAGTTTCAAATGGGACGAAACGTGTGTTATGGATTCCATTGTCAGTCACTATACATTTTTGCTTAGAAGGCTTGGGAATTAAGGCAATAGCGAAGTAATACGCACAGTATACACATATGTCAATAAGAAATTGATCAATTGCAGTTTTGAACATCAATGGAAACATACAAGCAAATAACACCGAATGAATTTATCTAGTTTGAGTTTTTAATCAATACCAAGTTCATAGTTCTTGCTTTAATCAAATTTGACAATGAGACAAAGGACTGTATAAGGCCAATTAATTTTTGTATTGGTTGTTTGAATCTTCCTATTGATGTTTAGGACTACAATTGATCAGTCTCTTATTGAAATATGCACATCCCGTGCGGGTTGCCTCGATATTGCTTTAATTCACAAGCATTCTAAGCAAAGATCAATAGTGGCTAGCAGTGGAACCCAGGACGCTCGTTTCGTCCTGTTTGGGACTATTCAACTGTATGTACCTGTTCACTTCAAACGCCATCGTGTTATCCGCTTAGCTACTGAGTCCTGATAGCTAAGTGCATAAGGTGATGAAGTTTGAAGCAAAAGATTGTTAGTTAGAGCCCTAGAGTACTATCATTCAGCGTTTTCGTAAATTATTTTATCTGCTACCTTAAAGACTATACTTTCTTCTTAGAAATTTTGTTTTAATTTGAAAGCATTTTCAAAAATACTTTATACTTATCCTACATATGAACACAAATAAATGAATAGATTCATGTTCAAATGTTTAACTTCGCTTTTGTCCAAAGTTATCTGTGTTTTCACCACTTCAGTAGCCTTTGGACACTACACCATCGTTAAACTGATTTAAAAACCAAAGTATTTTAAGCTTTTCACTGGATACTATAATAACAAATTAATCCAACCATCTATCCACAAATTTTAACAACATGAGGGTATTCATGGAGATTGTACTATTTTCGTAGTTTTAATGACTATCTTATATTGGCTAGACTATGGTTAATGATCAGCAGGCACTGAATCTGTCATGTATTTTCACCTTTGAGACTCTTCAGTAATAAGTTTGAATCCAGAACTTGTAGTCTTGTGCAAATCGTACACATTTTACATAAACCATTATATTTGATAATCTGTCTTATCAGCAATTGTTGAGTCACATCTCTATCAGAACATTGGTTGCAAAAATATCTAATTAAATCGCTCGATGTTAGACCACCATTTAAAACTTGGAAGCACTGAATGACCGTTTCGTCCTATTGTGGAACTCCTTAGCAATGCGCACCCGGGATCCCGCTTGAGTTATTTCGTGAAGTGGTTGAGATTAGATATTAACTTACTTCGATTTTGGATCAGTGGTCTAGACGTAAGGTGTTCGAGCGCGTGACTAAACGCCTCGAGTTTGAATCCAACGAGAGGAATCCTGGATGTGCACTGCTAAGGAGTCACATACTAGGACGAAACGATCATCCAGCGCTTCTAGGTTCCCAGAGGTTCTCTACAATCAATCGGTTCGTGGTCTCAATCAAAAATATAAGATCTATCGTATTTGTGTACATTTTCAGTATTTATTTCGTTCGGAATATGTGAACATTAAAGAATGTTTTCTATATCTAATTCACGTCAAGAGAATTATATATAAGAACTTTCGTCTAAATTTGATTGAATGGTTTCATAGTATTCTAACAATGATCTTAAACAACAATTTACATTAAAGCGTTGGTTATATGTTTACATCCAACTGTTTTGAGTCTTCGAGTAGATTTGTACGGACAAACAGAATGTGTAGCTATGGGATCACCGGTTTCTCCAATTGTTGCTAACTTATTCATGCATTCATTGGAAACGACTGTAAATACCTAAGAGTTTTGCACCACAATAGACACTGTTTAGAATAACATTTCTTTCACTTGTCTTCTGTCTTCTAAATTGTGACTTGGAGGGTTCTAACGTTCGAGTACTCAAGTTATACGCAATGTATTAAGAATCTAAGCTCTAGATATAATAGTGAATAATCATCCGAGGGATTTTATTAAAAGAATAATCAAGAACGAATACGTAATAATAAAAAGAGTTAAGCAAAAGGAACAAAATTAACACAGTGGCATTTCAGAAGAGATCCAAAAGACCCTAACTTTTCAAAATATAGGAATACTCTTTCCAACAAACATTAATCCTAGATCAAAACTAGTAAGCATCGTAGATTTAGTACACAAGGAGGAACAGAAAAATTGTTAAAGCACATTCCTTAAACCTTAGATGATGTAAGAAAACTCGAAAACAAATCAACGATTACATTACACTCCATACAATCGGATCATACAATTAATTTCAACGGCACAAGAATCCTTCATTAAAGTTTTAACTCTTACAAAGAAAGACTAACAGCTGAAGACCTATACATATGGGCAAATCTAAATAGTATTAATAGGAGAGGTGGAATACAATTAGCTGTCCCATGACAACTAAATTAATTAAACCTATTTTATCTATCACTTATTATCTAAATAACAGCAATTATATTCAGCGATTCTAATCAGTTATCTTCTCTGAATATGAGAAAGGATTTTGTGAATATTGTAGTAATTTTAATAGTTGAGATCATGAGTCAATTGATGTGAGACCACCATGAAAAACGTGAAAGCACTGGAACGCCGTTTCGTCCAATTGTGGGACTCCATAGCAGTGAGCACTTACGATCTCGCCTCGGAAGATTTGAACCCAGGACCTATCGGTCTCGCGCGCGAATGCTTATTATGTTAAACAATTAACTGAAACAATAAAAAATAACACAAACATTCAGTTACAAATACCTTCTTCCTCTTTGAATTCATTCCTTTATCTTGCTTATTTATCTTCATTTTATGCATTTTGTGACATATTTGATTCATATCACATAAGAAAATTGTATATTTCTCTTAAATTCTACCGACCAGTGAAATTGCTTCTCACATCACTTACCTATATACACACAATATGTTATCACTACGCACTTTTCATTTCACACCACAAATCTTTTACATACTACTTTAAACATTGTTAACGTTGATTGGCTGACCTATTCAGAATTCAGTTAACAGAAGAACCATGTACGTAAATCACTTAGTGTTATTTTATTTATATCTTCCAATTGTTAATTAGGACTGCAATTGGTCAGTCTCATGTTGGCATATGTGAATCCTGTGCAGGTTGCTTCGATATAGCCTTCATTCACAAGCTTTTTAAACAAAGATGGATAGTGGCTAGTGATGATATCCAGTTTGATGCGCGCTTAGTTCTGTTTGGGACTTGTCAGCTAGATGTACCTGCATCTCAGAGTTGATGTTCACTCTGGCACACGAACACAGTACCGTTCGCTTTAAACGCCATCGCGTTATCCACTTATCGACTGAGTCCTGATAGCCACTTGCTTGTGCAATGTAATGAAGTTTAATTCACTTAATTTTGTTTTATTTGTATCTTTCCATTATTATTTAGGACTGCAACTGATCAGTCTCTTATTCGCATATATGCATTCTGTGCGTATTGCCTCGATATTACATTAATTCACAAGCTTTTTAAGCAAAGATGAATAGTGGCTACGTACATCCAACTGACGAGTCCCAAACGGGACGAAACGCTCGTTAAACTGAATTCCACTGCTAGCCACTATTTTAATAATACATTTTTCCTGTTTAATATTTCAAGTGAATTAATTTTTGATAATCTTGTTGAAGGTAGTTAATTTGATTGGTCAAATGAATAATTATCCAATCAGAAATATGGATACATTCATCAAAGTACCCTTGTTTACCTTATTGACAATTAAACGTATTTTTAAAAAAAATTAATAATAAGTATAAATGTTTAAGTAACATACATCTTAACTTTAGTGTATCATAAGCTGATTTTATGTACATAATCAATTTATTTCAAGATGTACTAAAGAAGTAAGGTCATAGACTATTCATAACCTTCTTCTTAATCAAATCCAATAATTACAGATCTTCCTATAAACGCTAAATCCTGATACTGTAGTGAACAAGAATACCAGTGGGGACAATCGAATTTATTTCAGCACAAAATTGCAGAGTATCTCATCAAAATCTGAGAACTATATAGTAAGTCGTTAATTTCTAAAATATCAATCCATCATATTAAACTGGACTGTTCCTGTTTTGCAAATATCAATCTATTATCTCAGATTTCATTGTTCATGCATTGTCACACCGATGGCGTTCCGTTCCCGTTCTTTTTTCATCGACCTTCTACGGAAATACATTCTATGCCTGACCACCGTTAATATATTACTTGTGTAGATATAAGTAACCCACACCGCAATACCACTGTATTATCATTAAGGAGTTGTTTCCCTATAATCATCTCATAATGTTAACTATAAAATTTAATGATAAAGAATATACTTTACATAACTAACTTACTTGCATGTTACATTAGGTTTACAAACTGCTAGTTCAATAGTTTTCATAATAGTTTCATTAACAGATGAATCATTTCGATTAGATATTGATAATCCTTTGAAATGATTATCTCTCATTATAATCATTGGTGTAAAGTACCATATAATGAAATTTGTATTAAGATCTGGTATACAATGTAATGTGATTTGTTCACCTTGTGTAACTGTATGATTATAAATAGAATATTGTGCATTTTTCATAATGTATGATGTTGATAATGAAGATTGAACTAGTTTATCAGCATCTTGAATAAATAGTTGAATATAAAAAGTAGAAATCATGTTTAATTTTCAGTATAGGGTCATAGAGAATAATAGGTTTTTGATTGATGTTAGATCACCATGGAAAAACTGAAAGCACTAGAAGGCCATTTCTTCCTGGTATGGGACTCCTCAATGGTAGTGTGTATCCACGATCCCACTTACGGGATTCGAACCCAGGGTCTTCAATCTCGGGCGCGAACGTTAACACGTAGACTACTGAGTCGGTATCCAACGATACAAATATCCAACTTCAACTAATCCACGGGATTGCGCAACTATCTTCCATTGTACAGAGGTAGATACTTATCTCTACCTGACACGGATTAACTCCAACGGTAACGACTACTCACTAGAACTCCGAGAATTCCCGCATGAAGCTAGTCACTAATAAGCATACGAAATGGCCGCCCAGTGCTTCCACGTTTTCAGTGGTGGTTTAACATCAATCGGTTCATGATGTCAATCAAGTTTAATTTATTGAATGTAAAGTATAGTGAAATCTATAGCATAAAAAACATTCAATACTGGATATCGACTGAAGTAAAGAAATAGATCAAAACAAGCAATATACTGATTGATATGTACAAAGTATTTCATTTTGTCATACAATCATAGTGATAAGATTTCGCTTAAGAAACGTACTCTTTTGTGTGTTATTGACGCCCGTCAAAAATAGACAACGGTAGAAACTGAAAAAGTGTGTCTAGTTTAAGTTGAAGTTCTATCTGTCAAATGAATTAGTAATGACTTGTTCTACAGTTACAGTTAAACATGATGATCAACATGGATCATCGTTGATTGATTATGAACGGAAATCACGACAAACTCAATAAATTAAATTCATTCCTGAAGACTATTTGTTCTGGAAAGGCTCTAAGTGTTTACTACTATGAAACAACAAAATAATGACGAATTTCTTCGCATTTATAAACGTTTAAGTTGGCATGGTGAATATGATATAAATTATAACATTTGTGCGATGATAGATAGCCAATAGGTTAGACAAAATGAATTTCGATAGATAGGATTCTAGTCTATGATTATTTGGAACAACTGAAAGCAGTGGATTGCCGTTTCGTCGTATTGTGGGACTCCTCAGCGGCAGTGCGCATACACGATCCCTCTCCTCAAGATTCGAACTCAGGACCTACCGGTCTTGCACGCAAACGCTTAAATTCTAGACCAAAAAAAATGTACTTACTACAAACAGTTCAATCCGGTTTGCTTTATAAACCATGATGTTTGTATTACTAGTGATCAGGTGAATATAATAAACCAAAATTTTCATTAGAAACTTATTTTAGTAATTTTAATAAATAGAAATAAACGTTTAACAAAAGTATCTCAAATATGTTACTACTTCATGTAATTGGATACAATAAGAAATGTTAGTTGAACGTGGACTTCCATTTAATTATAGTTCATACCAGCTATGTATCAGTAGATGTGTTTGATATTATTTCGACAACTTTGAAGTTGAAACCTCTCAAATGATGAACAAATTGTGAGTTCAACAGAGTATTTGTGAAAAACATAAACCATTTGATTTAATAAGCTGTTTCAAATGTCAACTCATTTTTCCCAAAATGCTCATACATGGCCACGCATATACAGTGACTCGCATGTATTTCCTACTCACTGCCTTCTCGCAACATGAGTGTAGTTTAAAAGTTGGAAAGAGAATGTCGAGTTCTTTACCCGGGTGGGTGTATAAGGAGGATCCACCTGGAGGAGTTGGATAACCCTGATTCGAAACCAATCGAACACATGGAATCCACAATCCTGAAGGAACAAATGGCGTATGAACCATTCGTTGGTCACCGCCTGCCATACGACTGCATATCACATTTCTCCACTGCCTTGTGGATTAGAACTTTAAATCGGAAGCTCCGAGTGTGGATACTTAACAAAACTACCTGCTTCGTTCTGGGCACCCTAGCAATATCATAACCCATAAACAAATCAAGTAACTTGCATGGCTCATGTGCTGAGATTGGATCGTGATTGGAGGTAGTGAGCAGGAAACCCTGGACCCGGGCTTCGAGCTATTTGCACTCGTCAGCAAGGTGTACATGTCATTTAAAGCGAACTGGTTCTCCCCGACGGATTCGATCCCATATCACCCAGCTTCATGGTCATAGACGTTGCCACTGGGCAATCCGAGCCGCGACCGAACTTCTGTAGGACTGAGATGAATTTACAATTGATTGATCATCGGGTGGTGATTAGTGTCATATGTGTCAAGTCTTTCTTAGTGAAGATCGAATGCTATCGAACCGTGATAGAATCCGTCAAGGACCACCAGTTCCATCAAGTTTACAGGTATACCTGGCTGACGAGTGCCAAGTAGCACAAAACCTTTGTCCAGAATTTCCTGTTGACCACCTCCAACGACCATCTAATCTCAGCATAATACACGCAATGTCGAGTAACCTAGACTAGTGACAATATTGCGACCTGGTTAATAGCATTTATGTGTTCAACTAAATAAAATTTCCCAATAATAAGTTCCTTGGATCTTGAACTGTTGATAACAATTCTACAAACCGTCTTTGTTTTGTTTTTTGTTTTTTGTTTTTTAAAAATCCAATTGTTCCCATATTGGAAACAATTCCATCAGTGATTCAATCTTATTTCAGGTCATATTCTATCTAATTTAGTTAGTACACAACTGTTCATAATAAATTAAGTTATAAACATATATATATCTACATATACATATATTTATATTAAGATGTTCTATTGAATTAATCAAAAGGTTATCAAGTACTAAGAATTTATTATTGCCAATATACATATATTGTCCATAACAAGTAGTTCATTAAATCTCATGAGATTCATATTCAATTAGGACTTGATTTGGATCTATTCAGTAAACTAGGAAATATGAACATTAGTGTCAGGTTGAAATCAAATTCAATACAATATGTTGTAATAAATAGATTAACTAACAGTTTAAAGATTATTAATAAGAATATATATATAATTATAATAGTGAAATTATAATAACAGAAGTTGTGATGGGAATAGATAGATTGAAGTATTACTTATTAAAGTAGTAGTATATAATAAGTATGGAGATTTGTGAAGAATGTATTCTCACAAGTTGATCTAATCTCATCTTAAACATTTCTCAATGTTACCAAAAGAGATTCAATATCATCTGCCTATTCTAAATCCATTAATGGACCTTCTGGTAAGAGATCAATTCATGAAAATTTAGTTGATGAAAACGTTATTGTCAGAAGTATGTCTATAAAGAAGTTGAACAAAAAATGGAGATAGTGTACAGCCTTGACAGACAGTGCTTGGCGTTGTGAAATCAGACAACAATTGGTCATAAGCTCCTATTCGAATGGTAGTGTTAAAGTGAAGAGCCTTTACAACGTTTATGTACTCCTGAGGTGCACCTTTCAATGACAAACACTAACACAGAACCTCTCTATCTACAGAGTCAAATAATGCTTAAAAGTCAAGACGGACGCCAATAAGCTTCCCTGTGTGATCGAAGCTCGTCTACCACTGAAAACGTATAAGCACTAGACTGTCGTTTCGTCCTAATATGGGACTCCTCCTCATGGATTCATCCATGAAAATATAGTGTAATAATAAATGTCTAAATAATTACATTGATCTTCCAAAATAGTTCGAACAGGAAACCTACAATGTTCAATGGAATTTGTCAAGAGATCTCATATATGAGTGAATGTGGCATCTTTATAAAATCTCATCCACTGCAATAATATATACGATGATACTTTATAAAACTTTTCGTCTAAATTTGATCGAGTACTTTCACGGTATTTAGCCGCCAAGTTGATGTGAGGCATTAAATGTATTTGAAAAATCTCAGCGAATGAATTCGAAGTAATAGATAAAACATTTCGCGTGACAATCTGATTCTTGCTTTCCCAAGGAAAAATCAACAAACATCGAAATTATCGAATATAAATAAGTATATGGTTCTCCGGTTCACTGTATAATAAACGGGGTCAGCCAATCAATGTTAATAATATTTATCGTAGTGAATTTAAAGCAGTGATTGGATGACCTATGCAGTCAGTCGGTCAGTCAGCAACAACGTAGAACCACGCACATTTATACATCTGTCCTAGTTGTCATACCTCATTAACATAACAAGAGCAACACAAAATTCATAAAAGTAGTTAATTCAGAAGTGGTAATATATAAAAGAAAGATTGCAATAAGGATATAGTACAGAAAGAAAGAATTAGTTCGTAGAAAGGAACATATAAAGCGATTATAATCTCTCAGTTTAAGGGAACACAGAGAGTGTATACAACTACACTTCTGAGCCACGTCACACCGAATCTCCAACCATTGATTTCGATAGTCACACGGACCCCAACCTAGTAGTCTGCATCTGTGAAAATGGTTCAGACCAGAAGTTAGTGACTCCAAGCACTCATGCCACGTTTCGGTTTGGCCGCCACTAACTTTTCTCCAACCATCTCCAACACTAGACAACATTACGCGTCGTGGTAGTCGGTGTTCGGGAATTCGTAACTCGTGAACCAAACACATCAGTCGATGAAGATTCACAACATTATCAAATGATTTACTATCATTCCCTAATACCTTGCATCTAACCTCACTATCACTTATCTGATGATCCAAGCAGATGCAAGCAATATTTCTAAGACATCTTTGGTTAATAGATTACGTGTATCTTCTACTCCTAATGACTACGTTTTGCAGCCGTAAAATATGACAGAACGAAATGCTGTGCAGTATACTCGTCCCTTAATTGATAGCTTTCGCCATAAGTGACGTAAGTTGTCAAAATCCAGACCAGAGTTTTGAAACCGTGTAGGATAGCCATCAGGCGCCAACTCATTAGGGCTGATCAGACTTCCAAGATAAGCAAAGTTCTCTACACGTCCGACTACTTCACACCTTACTCTTAGTTCAGGTTTTGACTCAGGCCAGTCTGGAAACAACAACAACGCATCTCAAACAT